ATGAGACTTCATGCAGAATGCCAAATACTTGTATATAATTTGATTACACTCAGACACTGGCTACCAGGAAAACTGCTAAAATCAGATGCTGAAAATGATACATTAAACTCAAACTTTAACACAAGTATAGGAAACATTTTCTTAATGTTGAAAAGAGTATCACCGTACCATATAAGAAAATCAGACATTCCCTCACGTGGAACATACTGAGTTTCCAAAACAGTGGATGTATTTGTTATCAATTTGTACATGGTGTCAGTAGTAGGTGTTGAAAATTATGCAGGGCATAGGGTGTTGTGAATTAGATAAGCTTCTAAAAGACCAAAAGAAACTTCAGAGTTTTTTGAACAAAATAAAATGAAGAGTTAATATAGCAGCTGAGGGAAATTATCGTTGACCAAATGCAATAAAATAAACAGTGGGAAGTACTAAACAAAGCATTCACACACATTTTTGAAGAGTAAATTAACTAAAAATGACTGGTGTTGCATTCACTGACAGATCACACAGTGAAGAAAAAGTGAGACGAGTAGAAATGGATTTATAGCAGCATCTTTGTAATACAGAATGGCAATAGTAAAAAGAATTTTTGCAGGCATGGGAAAAATAGTGATTTTGTTCAAATGCTTTACTTTCAAATGCAATATAATTTTCATCCCATCTATATCATGCTCAAAAAGATGTAGCAAAAGCAGACATGAAAAGACTAGGAATTCTGGAGATCAGCATATGGAAAAAGAAAGTTGACTGACACTACTGAATAGAAAACCAATAAATGAAAGAACCAAAACACAGAAAGATGTGAATTGAATAACTTGTTTCCATTTCACCCAAGGATAAACCTGGAGTCACTTTGGCACCAACTTGTTTGCTAACGTTCGCATTACCTTCTATATGCTCCCACTACAGGATATAATAGTAGGAAAATGTTAAACAGAGTCTGGAAAAGAACTAAACAACAGAAAATACCTGAAACAGTAGTGGGAACTTCCAGATTAAAATGGTTATCTGCAACACTAAAATTGAAAGCAACGAAGGGCAAGCAATGAGGAGATTGAGGAGTGGTACTAGAGGGGAGAGGTATTCAGCATTGCCTGGTGAACTACTCCGTAAGCTATATTAAAAAGCAAAACAAAATTCTACTGACTGAGCTAGCACTATTTACGGAGTTCATCTCACAGTACATAACCATGGAGTGCCTGACTGCATCTCATTTCTTTTCCCATTTTGAAATTCACAGAATCAAAGATCAAGATAACACAGAGATATCAGAACACCACAGGGATTACCAAAGCAAGAAAGAAGTCACTCTCGGGCAAAGCCTCTGTCACTCATTTGTTTTTTATAGTTCTGGAAAATCTTCTGGAACATAAACTCTAAGGCATAGCAAAAAACACGGGAAACTGTCAGAAGATCCATTGGTTTTCTGTGCAAAAGGCTGTCCAAAGAATGGAAGACACACTCTTCACACAGACTACTGGATTCTCCTCAGATGTCTCTAGGAGCTCCTGCTTTCTGACAAGGAGACTCAGGTGGCTGGGAAAGATGCTAGTAAGGAAATGCTTCTCAAACAGCTTAAAATTTTTCAGAAGCAAGAATGACTGAGGTGCTAGAAGAGACCACTAGTATAGTAAATTTATTAGAAATTCAGTGATTTTTCTGACAAGGCTTTCTCCCCCAGAGCACCTGCCCTTGTCAGAGGAGAGGGGCATGGGAACCAGGGTTATCTCAGATCGCTTTATCCTGACCCCTGAAACCACCAAGGTTCTCTCCACCGTTTCCTTGGTTTAGCTCTTCAGATCAGTAAAGGTTCTGATGATCAGCAACTGACCCACGTATGACCTGGTGAGACTACTGTACAAAGGGACTCTCAAAATACCCAACTCTATCTCCTCTCTGTGCCTCAGAGGAAACATAACCCAACAAATACAAGATCACGTACTTAAAATAAACCAATAAAAAATATAAGCTTTCCAAAATACTGCTTTTACCTGAGGAGACACTAAATGTGAAAGACAGAAAAATGAGAACACAGTAGAAGCTTACAGGACTCTGTAGCACTGAGTGGAACCTAAATGCCACAAAACAGTTAAGAGTTTGGGCACAGATATCATATCTGGGTTTTTTTAGTCACTGATGAATTCAAATGGTAAAAACAGTTACCTTAGTATATGCACAGAGAAGAAAAATTCCAGCTCATCTTGGTTTTTATGTGTTTACTGTATTTTTAGATAAAAGCATTCAAGAAAATGTATGAAATGAACCAAAAATGATGCAATAAACATCGTGATTAGTGTGATTCATCTGCTGAAACTTCCTATTAAACTTGCAGGCAGACAGATCAACAGGGGCACTAAATTTTCTCACACTACCATACAAAAATCTTACATTAGAACAAATTGCTTTTTTCTTCATTTATATATTATTAGTTATGGTCATTTATCAATTACAGATCTCTCATCTTGCTTCGTATCACATTGGATTTTTTGTTCTGATACATTTTACATGAATGAAAGCCTGACTATAAGAAGTTGATTTAAACCCACCAGCACTTCAGGAAAATATATGGCATTTATGCTACTACAATATGTTCCACAGTATAAAAACATACTGGAGAAACAAATACAGAAACTTTTCATGTTTTTCAATCTGCACATACAGTACTGTTTATAAAACTGTATTTGTTTGCACTTTTCTCCAACAGATTTATGTATGGAATCATACAGCAATGTCATATTGCAGTTTATTACAGCTATGGCTCTGAAAGACAAAACCCAAAAGCAAAACAAACAGAAAAAACCCAAACACATTGTAAGCTTAGTTTACCAATTTTGAGTAGGAAGAATTGTCATCACCCATAAAAACAAAACATCCCAAACTAGGAATATTAGCTGTATACATATGTTTAAAAACTACGCAGCAGAAATTCTCGCATCTCCACATCTGCAAAAATTCAACTACTTTCATGCAAACAAGCAGGAAAAACTCTTCCTTAAATGATAGCTATAAACTCTTTATTCAATATCCCAGATGGATCATCACTGTTGTAACTTCTGTGAATCACAGATGAAGACTTGATGCCACAGGCATCTCAGTGACAGTGTGACCAAACACTCTTTATGGCATCTCCTATTAAAGACTTTCAATAGCTCCCTAAAGTAAAGATCAACAATTCATTCTATTTCTAGTCACAATCAAATCAACAAAAGCCAATTTTTCTGTATTAACATTCATGACTCCTTCTGACAGAAAACTTGCTTTTGTTTACGAATGCATATATAAAGACATTCCCTTCCAACAGATTTTGACAGCATTTAGAGTTCAATACTAGCCAATTATGTGTATAATAAAACTATTGTAGCAGTTGCTACTTTAAAATATGACTTGATTTACACCCTGTGTATAAAGTCTTTGGAGTTCATTTAGCATAACTTTCACAAACACACCAAAGATACGTATATTATATAGTTAATTAATCAAATAAACTATTTTATAAAAAGATTCTGGCAGTTGATGAGTCAACTATGCCAAGAAAAGTTTACTTATCAACTGAACTTTTTGGGGAACATCCAAGATAAATACAAGTTGCTTTTAATTGAACTCCAACAGAGGTAAGCAAAGCATTTGGAGGAAATGTGGAAAGCTCTAAATTTATCTCCAGAATAATATAAGTCACTAGGTTCTGAGACCAACTGGAGTTTTTTAACACATTGCATCCTACCTCCAGCAGGGGCCAAGAGCTGAAGATGTATATGAGAAAAGTCAATTCGAAGCAATATTATCACAATATTCAGCACTCTGCTACTTAAAAACTTTTGAATTTTTTAGGATTTTTTCCCTATGTTACCAATCTTCTTTTTTTTTTTTTTTTGATAATTTATATGTTTTTATACATATATTTATACAAACATTTCTAATGTGCGAAGGATAAAAAACAGAACTTGCTTTGAACCAATTTAATACACAGAACATTAGCAGAGATCTGAAAATCCAAATCATCAATTTATCCAAAGCAACAATCACCAATTCACAACCCAAAGAATTTTTTTTTTTTTTTTTTTTTTGATAATTTATATGTTTTTATACATATATTTATACAAACATTTCTAATGTGCGAAGGATAAAAAACAGAACTTGCTTTGAACCAATTTAATACACAGAACATTAGCAGAGATCTGAAAATCCAAATCATCAATTTATCCAAAGCAACAATCACCAATTCACAACCCAAAGAAGTCTTCACAAAGTGCAAGCTAATCCCACTAACTAGAGCTATCCTGAACTTAAATAGCACAACGGGAAATGGCGTCAAGTTGTGCCAGGAGAAGTTTAGGTTGGATATTAGGAAAAAAAATTCTTCACCAAAAGGGTTGTCAAACATTGGCACCCAGGCTGCCCAGGGAAGTGGTTGAATCACCAGCCCTGCAGACATTTAAAAGACACGTAGATGTGGTGCTGAGGGACATGGTTTAGTGGTGGACTTGGCAGTGTTAGGTTAACGGTGGGATTTGATGATCTTAAAGGTCCCTTCCAGGCTAGATGATTCTATGATTTCTATACTAGAAAGAAGTGAGCAGCAGAAGAAACAAGTCACAGATAACTCTCCGCCATAAACAGCATAACAAACCTTCTCCCAACATGCCTTACAAGTAACTACAGCAAATATAAGTCATCAGTCTGTTACCTTCATCCTGTGTATGCAAGACTATATTTAGAAACATATTCTTGTAACACAGATTGTAAACTGTCTGTTCAATGAAACATAAAAATGTTTTTCACAAACAAAACAGTCTCACTAGTGAATGGACTGTATGTATTATTTACATTAAAGAAACAATAGCTTCAGCAATATTTCATTATGAATTAGCTTCCAATAATTTATAAACTAAGTTATTACCACCATTTACATTAAAGAAACAATAGCTTCAGCAAGCTTTTGATATTTCATTATTAATTAGCTTCCAATAATTTATAAACTCAGTTATTACCACTGGACTTACCCATAATGGTTAAAGCTGTGGCTTTTGTTAAATCTTCTTTCATTGACTCTATTATTTCAAGATTACCACCGTCCAAGTTGCATCTATTTATGGTTCCATTTCCTGAACTGATCCAGTAAAGTTTGTTCTCCCCATAATCTATTGATAAACCTGTAATTAACACATATATCTTTAACTGTGGCTTGAATAGATAATATACATTTAGTGTTAAGCTGCTTTCATAATAAAAGTGTATTTACAGAAATATATGTATACACACACACATTTTATCTATCCACTCAAATTTAAAAAAAAGACAACAGAGAAAACCAAACTAACTTGGCCATTCATATTGAAAAAAACACACTTTTAGAAAGATTTCTGCCTCTTATTTGTCCCAACGTCTACAGAAATCAATCGGTGACAGACTGATGAAAGAGTATTATCTGGCAATGAACAATGACTTGAATGAACTGAGGTCCTAAGCGAGGTCAGTAACCACTACTAAATGCAAACCAGAAACCATCATTTATATTCTAAAATTATGAATACACAAAGACTTAAAAAACAAGCTACTTTTTGTGATTCAGAACTAGAAAAAGTCTGTTCTCTCCCTTCATGTGCTGCCTGCTGTTTAGAATGCTAAATACCAAAACTTAATACTAGTTCTCAATAAATTTACAGAATTAATTTTAATTGTGCATCACAGTGAACTGACCTCACAATCAGTTCTTTGGAGTTAGAAGCAAGAGAACTGTGGAAATAAAAATTCTTGAAAATAACCCACTAAGCAAACAAAGCATATGCTTTTCTGAAAGTAAGAGCAAAGTACTAAGACAATGTACTTCAGACTTCTATAATCCTTTAAAAATGTTCAAGTAATTGTAGCAGGAGATTTTCCACAGTGAAATACACTTGGCATGGTGACAATACACGCCATAATAATTTGCTTTGGTACTAGACTTTTCCCAGAACTCATGTTAGGTTTCCAGCAGCAAGTTGCCAAAACCCACTGTATTTCAGACCACAGGTCAACCTCTTGATACTGTACAGTAGTTCTTCCACCCTGTAAACTGCTGCTCTGTGGAAAGCCAGATCTATTTTCTCAGACCTGCCAGGAGAACGCAGTGCCATGTGCTGCAGTACTTACAGCTGGCAACAAGCCACTACATTTCTACACACATTTGATATAGTAGGCCAAAAGGTGTCTGCTTTCTAAGCTTTTTAAAAACAACTTTACAGTTCCTTTACAGTTACTGATATTTTTTTTTCCCCCCTCTCCGCAATTTTATCACCCAGAAGAAAAATAACACATGCTCCAGAGAGGATAAGGAGGAGCAGTGCCTTCAGGAGAGATGGATCTTACAGCATCTCTGCACACATGTGTTTTCATGCTTGTACAACAAACATCACCCACAGGGAAAAGATGATGCCACAGACCTCGGAGATGAGCTGTACACGCGGTACTTAGCCTAGCACAGGAAGCATTCCTAGGAAAATGGATAAGCCTTGCTCTGGGTTACAAAGGTAATATTGGGAGTATAAAGGTTTCCTTACTCCGAGAGACAGCACTTGTTATTCCCTCTAACTCCCAGCTGCCACCAGGCAGCTGCTCACCCATCTCACCGAGACAGATCTATTTATGGGGTTGCTGTGAACGCAATCTACACAGCAATTACAATGTTATCTTGTCAGCTTTTCTACTTCTCCAGGTATTAAACTGGTGTTTCTACACATGGGTATTCCAATTACACAGCAGCGACTGACAGAAATAACATTCCTATCTCCTTCCACCCAGGTCTACCACATTTTTCTTCCCAAAGTATTTTCCTGTTGTGTTATTCCACCTGTTACCAACCTTTGAGAAAAGATATTATTTCTAACATAGGCAGAGCACATTTATTGAGATTTTTTCAGGAATTGTCCTGTTTTCACTAATGAAAATGGGTGACTTACTAGCCATAAGTATCAGGGGTACTCATGCTGCATTCTAGTGTGGGTGACTCGTTTATACCTAATGCCCCAGCTGCCAAAATCAACCTGAACACGTGGATTGTAAAATATTGCTCTCAGAGTTGGGTTTGTTGGGTTTTTAAAAAAAAAACAAAACAACAAACATTACTGTGCCTTAGGCCACAATGTTTTCACATGCATTTTCCAATTTCCTTACTCAAACTTTCAGAAATATGCCACTATTTAAAAAGTATATCACAAAGGTTATTCCAGCCATCGTACACACAGAGGTACCAACCTTAAAGCCATATATGTAATGAGATCTTAGCTTCCACTGCCAGAAAATCAAGTTTGATATTTTCATTTGGTGCATCGGTGAAATTCAAGGAAATGACTCTTATAGTACTTTTCGTATACTTAATGCTTAAATAATGAATGTTCCTCCAACTTTATGTTTACCTGTGCAAATGTTCTCTGAAAAGCAGAGGATGCTTAAGGGAACTGTGTGTTCCAAGACCATTAAAAATGGGATTCATTCTCACTACCTAAACCAATTGAACGTTGGACGTTGCTATTACAGCTTAGATAAATTATAGGAACAGCATCTGGAATTTTTGTTCACATTTACCACCTTAGTCACTTTTTATGTCTGATCACATTTCAGGTGAAAAAACAGTGGTTAAAATTAGGAAATCCTTAGGTTTATTGCTGTGCTAAATGCACATACATACTTAATAACTGTTTTAAAACAAACAAAATAAATTTAAGATTAAAATTTCAAGAGTCTATCTCAAGAATTTTTGTTTCACATCTGCAACCATTCCATTTGTAGACTATGGTATACTTTCAAAATAAAGAACAAATTAGCAAGGGATATTCAACTAGAGAGACAGCCAAGAAAATGAAACAAGAACAGCTGAAGAGGGCAGCAAATAGGGCTGTGCTATAATCATGAGAAAAACAGAAAATCTAAGTTTCTTCAGAAAAAAGGACGGAACTGTATTTTTTTAAAAAAAAACAGACAAAACCACAGAGGAAAAAAAAATACCCAAACTGAACCCAAACAAGAGCTCCCCCTATAATTATGGAGTCATTTGAATATAGCTGAGAGTGATCCAGTATGTTTTTAAAGGTTATTTATCCAAGCTATTTCAAAACTTACTAAGAATACAATACTCTGCAATTTAATAATAGCCATTTCCTTAAAAACAATCAAATGGATGAATGGTTTGTATATTTAGAGTATTATAACAATGTCTTAACTGAAAATAAGTTCAAGACACCAATGATCAAATCATTTGCCTCACAAAGTATAAAATTCAGCGCTAATTCTGAATCCCTAAGAATGCATTTTAATGGAACTCCAGTGACTAGTTGCTTTTTCAACCAATCTATCTGTGAGCCTTTTAGAACTGGAGAATAGACTAGCAAGTCATATCTAGTATGTACTAGTTAAAATAAAAATAAGAGAAACAATCTGTTGTCCTAAGATTATCACTTTCCAAAATCTACAAACTACATACTCTTGGTGTTAAAACAAATTGTTTTAATTGAAATAGTCCCCTTCTTTTGATAGAATTCAAACAGGAAAAAAAGAATCCATGAGGACGCTGCAGGTCACAGATTGCAAAACTTTTCCTCATTCTTCAAATTCTAAAATTATCTCTCAAGAAAATGAAAAACCCCATCAATTATGAGGACATCCAACTCTAATAGGCTACATATTTGTCTTTTAATGTAATCCCCCTGTTCATTCACCTCACTCCTCCAATACTCAAAATTAGAGCTACAGGAACTGGAGTTTCACTTACAGAGAAAGACAGTTTCTCAGTTAGAAAAGAAATATTCAATTAAGGTTGACTTAAGCAGCCAGAGACTGCTATTCTCTGGCTCTTCAGCAGTGTTTTCTTGTTCTTCTCACTAATGTGTCTGATGCTAATGGTAAGACTAATTTAAACCATTAAAACAGGTATTTTGCATACATTTTAATTTAGAGTTGGACATTGGAAATTTAGAACTCATTTTATCTATAGCGTATCTGACCATTTTTCAGATTGGAGAAATCGTCCATAAATACTCATTAAAAAATTAGCATAAAAACTATTGTTCAAAAATAATAATCAGACATTGAATTTTTGCAGTGTATTTTTCTAGTTAAGAAAGCATTTATTACTCAGTGCAGTATTAAAAAGTGAGGTTTGTTGTGGGTCGTTTTGGTTGGGGGTTTTCTGAGATGTGGAATGAGTTAGCCTCTGCTAAAATGTTCAAAAATCATATTTAATAAGCATAAAAATTACTTACAACCAAAGAGGAAGGTTCAGACTTCTTTAGTGTGAGTTATACTTCATATATAGAACATTAAGTGTTTTTCTAAAACAAAACTATGCTGAAGTTTAAAAGCCCACTTCCTTAGCACCAGGAAGACTCAGTACAGAATATCTGAATTGAAACAGGTACAGCATAATTCTACAGCACAAAGTAGGTAAGCAGCTACATCACTGAAGAAGTTTTTTGATTTTATTTCTGTAGATTTTGAAGACTCGAACTTACTCCCCTGTTCTCCTGGAAACAGCTAAACATCTATCAGCCAATGGGAAGCAGCGAATTTTTCTAGTTAAGAAAGCATTTATTACTCAATGCAGTATTAAAAAGTGAGGTTTGTTGTGGGTCGTTTTGGTTGGGGGTTTTCTGAGATGTAGAATGAGTTAGCCTCTGCTAAAAAGTTCAATAATCATATTTAATAAGCATAAAAATCACTTACGACCAAAGAGGAAGGTTTAGACTTCTTTAGTGTGAGTTATACTTCACATATAGAACATTAAGTGTTTTTCTAAAACAAAACTATGCTGAAGTTTAAAAGCCCACTTCCTTCGCACCAGGAAGACTCAGTACAGATTATCTGAATTGAAACAGGTACAGCATAGTTCTACAGCACAAAGTAGGTAAGTGGCTACATCACTGAAGAAGTTTTTTGATTTTATTTCTGTAGATTTTGAAGATTCTAACTTACTCCCCTGTTCTCCTGGAAACGGCTAAACATCTATCAGCCAATGGGAAGCAGCGAATGAATTCTTTTATTTTGCTTTGCTTGTGCACGTAGTTTTTCTTCTCTTATTAAATTGTCTTTATCTCAACCCATGAGTTTTCTCACTTTTACCCTTCTGATTCTCTTCCCCATCCCACCATGGGGAGTGACTGAGCAGATGTGTTGGGCTTAGCTGCCTTTTGGGGTTCACCCACACTACCAGTATTACCTGAGGTAGCAAAACATGAATAAGATACGATTAATCTGGCACTTCATCAGTGTCTTTGTATGCAGTAGCAAGATATTTATTTTAAAAATGTTAATATATATATTAATATATCTGCCTTAAATGCCAGGTATAAAATCATGGCTCAAGATCTAGACATCAACATGAATCATAGAATGGTTTGGGTTGGAAGGGACCTTAAGGATCATCTAGTTCCAACCCCCTGCCCTGGGCAGGGACACCTCCCACCAGACCAGGTTCCTCATAGCCCCATCCAGCCTGGCCTTGAACACTTCCAGGGATGGGGCAGTCACAACCTCCCTGGGCAACCTGTTCCAGTGTCTCATCACCCTCACAGTAAAGAATTTCTTCCTGATATCTAATCTAAACACTCCCTGACAAAGAGTCCCTCCCCAGCTCTCCTGTAGCTCCCTTCAGATATTGGTAGGCTGCTATAAGGTCTCCCTGGAGCCTTCTCTTCTCCAGGCTGAACAACCCCAGCTCTCTCAGTTTTTCATAGGAGAGGTGCTCCAGCCCTCTGATCATCTTCATCGCCCTCCGCTGGACCCGTTCCAACAGGTCCATGTCCTGTTCTTGGCATATCTCATATTGGCCAGCATCTTTCTAGATGAGGAACCAGGCCAAGGGTGATTTAATGATTTAATTGTAGTTCATAGTTTGTACAGTCTCTCTTTGTCAACTTAATGTGGTCACTTCCACCAACAGAATTACTGTCATTGACTGTCAGTGGCTGCAGTGTGGCTCGCATACACGTACGGTCAAACAGTGATAGGCATTGGGCAGTTTCCCAGTTTTAGAGGATGTAGCAAAGGACACCAAACACATATCCCTGACCCATTTTAAACTTATCTCCTGCCTTGTTAGGCCTTTTTTTGTTGTTGTTGGAAGAACTAGAAAACAAGCATTTTATACTCTTAAAAACATCAAAGTATGACTTTGGCATCTTTGTGACACTGGCATAAGACCTCATCCAATGAGAATCCCACTAGTATGTGCTTACAAAGCTTCTTATGTTCTTATAAGAAATATGAAAATGTAACTGCAAACAAATGAGATCATTTACACATAATAAGTAGTCCGTAAAATATTTTGATGTGCCAGAACATTATAATTTTGCATATTTGTTCTCAAAAACCGGAAAAAGTCTTATCTAAAAAAAGTGACTTATTTCTTTTCTCCTCTTCCCCTTCAAACATACATTTAACAGTTGAGGAACCAGAGTTTGCAAAATTTGCCTCTGGATAGTCCCTATCTGACAGTTATCCTATTTCCAAGGTAGCTACATTACAAAATAGGGTAACGTCATGTGCTGCCAGGAGAGGAACCGACAGCTGGAAAAAAAACACCCAAACAAAAAGCACCACTAGTGAGAACAACAAATGGTGCCACTTCAATACCAGAGAATGACATAGGGTTGAAGCAATCAGGTATAGACTTTACAATCCATTAAGTTTCTGTATCTGAAGTACAGAATAAAAGTGTCAGAACAATGAAGGTGTTAACTGCAGAAATAACAGCCAGTCATGATTTTCCATTTGTAATATTTTGTTTCCTTTCATTGCTGTAATCAACCTACCTATCTTGAAAAAGCTCAGTAAAAAAGGAAAACCTGAATTGGAGTATTTTAAGTAACTGAAGCAGCAAAGACAGAAGGAATATATACAGGATTCAAAGACACCAAAAGGCACCACTTCCTCATGGCACCCAAGTAGTGGAAACAACCTGATGGCCACCAGTCTAAACATGTCACGCATTGCAAGACAACAGGTAAATATATAGCACCAGTAGCACTAAAATTACAAAGCTACCATATTGTGTATTTCACTGATGGTGCCAAAACTGAAAGATTTATAGGAACTAGAAAGAAAAACAAGCAAGACTCTGATGGAACTAATTTCTTCACCAGGTCAGCACAGATAGCCAAAGGACATAGAAAAATCTGTAAGAATTTTTTTCAATGCAAAGCTATGTCATTTTTTTCCCTGCTTTTCATCTTGTTTTCTTTTACCACCCCCAGGAGGCATTATTTCCATTGTTTACTACACATTTCAATCTTGTATAAAAGCAATGTTACAATTACATCCCAATTTATTTAAACAAAAATGGACTATGAATCAATAAGATGAACTAGAATCCTAAACAAAATTGTGCTTTCTTATTGTTTAGATCAATTATCCAATCCCAGTGAAAGGTACACCTAACAAGAACTTGCACAGTCATACTTCAGCATTCTTATAACACGCATATATAATGAGTTATTTTTACTTCAATGTTATTTACCTCTCGAAATAATGGTTTCTAAGCCAGTCCCATTAATGAAGGCACGTTTGATGGTCTGTGTTTTCACGTCAGTCCAGTATAAGCGTTCCTCAACAGCATCAAAATCTATGACCGTCACATCATCAATGTCAGGAACAGTGAAAGCTGTGATGAAGTTGAAGTACGGGTTTTCTATGTCCACCCCTCTTATTTCTGAACGCCTTGCATAAAGGAGAAATTTCTTCCTTTCTGTTAGAAAAAAGGAAAACATCACTCCTCATCCTGTTGACAAAATCCCTAACAGAAGTCGTTCATTCATCTGAGACCACTTTATATCTAAGATTACTTTATGTGTAAAGAAAACTTATACGAATGATTTAATATCTCCAGAAAATCTGCAGCCCAGTGACAACTGAGAAATTATGTATGTTACAAAGCGTAAAAAACACAGGAAAAATATATTAATTCTGGACACTGGACAAAATGTTACCACACCACTAAGTTGATATGGCCTTATGCAAGTCTACAGAAAAAAAAAAAAAATATATTTTTTAAACATTCTACCCTGCTTATCTCAATCATAAAAATATCGTTTCATTTGTACATAACAGATATTAACATTTGGTATCTCAGGGAAACCGTATCACTGGAACAGGGTGATAAAGACAAAAGAGAACTCTTCTTTTTTTTTTTATACATCAAGAGTGTAAATTATTGGAGTCAATTTCTGTGAACGAAGGTAACATTTTTCCCCCGATACCCTTGATATGACAAAATATTTTTTTGTATTTCCTCAACACTATTAACCAACACCGAAAAGAGTAACGTGGTACAAGATTTTACAAATAGACACAATTTTTTGACATTTCAAGGGCTTTTATAGCTTAAAAGTGCTTATTGCAATTTTTTATAAAACTCCCCTGCAAGGCTGCATGTCTAATATATAGTCCTCATTACATTTTCTTAATCCTTGAAAATGAAACTAAGACAACTTTAGAAGAACAGGTAGAGATTTAAGCTATTAAGTACCTTTTTGTTATTTGGCTTACCTGACGACACACTTAGCAGTATAAATCTTTCTGTTTTGCAGAGATAAGTTTTACTCGTGTATCATACACATAAGCAACAGAAAAAATAGCTGTGTTAATGAATATGAAAGCTCCACACACTTCATATATTGAAATAAGTTATAAATTCTCAAAAAGTAGATGTCCCTTTAAAAAATATCATTAAAATGCCCCAGTAGAGACTGGTTTTAGGATTATGTATTTTAATTTGTCCAGTTCAAAATTCTAAAATCAATACAATTGTCAGGTTTTGGGAGGAAAACTTACCATAACATGTTTTTTTGTCTAAAGACAGTTTCATCAGATGCGGACAGGCACAGGCAGCGCTTCTGTTGTGATTGATCAGACACATGTGGGAACAGGGACCTCTGCCCTCATTAGCAGCGCACGGATTGGAAGCTAAAAGGGAATAATGAAATACACAAAATATAAAAACACCTTCTGGAAAAAAGGTTTGTCAAACTAGCATAAGCTACACTGGTGAGAGAGTAATGAAAATTCTGTTTGAAGACAAACCCGGCCTCATTGATTCACTGAGCTTGTACTCTAATCACATTTTCTATTATTTTTCTAAATTCTAAAATATTTCTGAATATTTTCTAATATTCACCTCTTGTGAATAAAGTGAATAAAAAAAAGTATTTTTTATTTATTTCTTTAGCACAGCCCCAACATTTATCATTCGAATTTCATGAAGCCACAGGATAAAATTTTCCCAGTGAGATATTAAGTTTGGAGTCTATTTATAACATTTAAATATATAGTATTGTACACTCCTAACCAGGACACATGGGATAGATAAAAAGTTAATATGATGAGGACCTGAACAACAGATTTTGTTTTGTGAAGAGGCAAAGCTTAGATTATAAAATGAATTTTGGCAAATGCAGTGTTCCCTCTCAATTTGATCTACCCACTGCAATATTAGTTGGAAATCTCACATGCAAAGAAAATTTGAAAAAACATACCAAAGTATTTCTACTTTTCTCAAAGAAAAACCTCTCCTAAGTGTAGCTTTTTTCAAGTAGCTTCCTGTATTTAAGTGATTGAACAAGATCTGCTAAAATTGCTTTAAAGAGCAGAAAGAAAGCTGACCGAAGAAAACTTCTTAGTCTTACAAAACCTAGAAACATTTCTTATTATCTTCATTCATTATTATACACAGAAAGTAACGTTGATTTTTCCATTTACTAAAAAAAACTTAGAAAATTAGCAGTACTGAAAAGGGAAGTGGGTATGACTGACTCATAAAGATAAACTTATAATTAACAAAATCAATTAGTTTAGAATATATTCCTCCAACGCTGTGCTAGCCTGCAATATCAGTAATTAGATAACTAGAGAAATCTGAGGTTTGAATTTCTTCTGAAATAAATTTAGCTCAAACTCAAGCACTAAAATTTGAAGACAAATTCAAGGTTTGCTTCATTGAACCATTTAATTTTCATCACACTTCCTTAGATTTATCCATCAACTCTTCAATCCTTTAAGCACTGGCTTGTCTGACCAGTACTACAGGAAGAAAGAATTTTTCAAAATCTTGGATAAACAGATTAATGTAATTCTATCCACCATCTTCCACCATTCTATCAAAAAAATCACAGGCTTTTACAGTTTTCTGTAAGTCATCACATCTGCCCCTTTCAAACACTGGCAGCACCTGAAGTCACTCAGCTCAGCACCTTCCCAACCTTCACAGTTTCTCCTGCTACTCCAAGGTTTATTAAAAAGAAGCATCCCATATTCTCTTTGTCAGTGCTTCTCAAATTCTGACTAAAAACATCGGCTGGGCCAATAAGCTTAAAAATATTTATTCTTGATTAATGACTTAATATCTTCTTTGTGTGCTAATGGACTGTAAACACCTTACTATCCTCATATGATGACTATATTTTGTTCTGCCTTTCCCCAAAATTACAACAGAGAAATATTTAACATCATCACTTTTCTTATATTTGTAGTAACTGTGTGAAAAAATCTGGGGTGGTCTCTTTTATAAGGTCACAATTCGTGTGGAAGATAAGAAATGTGAAACTGAGAAAAACAGACTGAAGTTAAGAAGGTTCCAAGAGCCCTTCAGAATAAGAATGAATTATTAACAGACTGTTAATATTAGTAAATAAGTCATCTATCCCTATGAACACTAAACATAATTTAGGGTTTTGACAATATTGTGAAGGAGATCATAGAATCACTGTTTAACAGGTCTCAGGAGATCCTCTAGTGATTCAACCTCCTGCATTTTTGGCCATTCTTAACACTGCTGCTGGGAAGATTGAAAATTTAGTCATACATTTTGCAAGAAAGCGTTTCCTTTAACTTATTTGGCAATACAAAGCAGGAATTTCAGTAGAACTTCAACCTCTTTGTATGTATTCAACTGTCTATGACAAGGACCCACTTAGGGCCGAAGAATTGTAATCCCCATCTTGTCTTTCTGTGCAAGCGGAGCAAAATGTTCTTCTCTACCAAAATTATTATTTGAGTATGGAATTCAAATAGAAGAACACACAGAAGAGAAAGTAAAATACATGCTGGTTAATCATCATGTTAAAGAAAGAGTTAGAGTTAAAATGTCCTATGAGCTACAACAAAGAGGAGAAAGTACAATTTTTGTACTACCTGTCCATATCAAAATTTCCTTCATATATCACGGGATACAAAACTGGTGGAAGAAGAAGTGTTATAAAGCAGACGTATTTGTTTCCACACGCAGGCACAAATGGAGGAGTGAACTACCACAATCTAAAAATTACTTATGCCAACATATATATATATATCTATTCCTTTCATATTCATACTGCTTTCACTGAATAACAGCTAAGCCCATTCTTTATCTCCTAAGAAATACTAATTTTCTTGAAGGCAAAAAGGTACGCTACTGCTTTGACTCTCAGAAATGAGGCTCTTCTTTCCTTGAGGTAGTTCTAACACTTTCTTCTATTTCTATTGTGAATAACCACGTGACCATTCCTCATTCACCTTCTCCATGGTAATTATGATCTCACAGACTGCCATCACAGAGAAGCCTGTCTATAAGCTGTATTTCCAGAAGCATCAGCTTACCTGTCCTCATGCAAAAACCTTTCCCATACTCTTGATCAGCCTGTCCAGCTGTCTTGGTATCTTTTACATGATCTGTGTACAGAATATTCAAGCTATGGGAGAAATATGGATTTGTACAGCCATCACAGTTCACTATCTGTGGTTCACTATTCCTTTCCTAATAATTTCCACCAATTTATTTTCCTATTTATCATGGCAACCCCCAGAACTGGCATTTTTACCAATTGCCCAGCCTTTTGCATTATTTAATTGATTTCCACTGCTGATTGCTTGTCAGTCCATTTCTCTTACGGTACTGCACACAGGTATACACATGTCACTGTTTTTCGTCATATTTCTTCTTGACTGCTCTCTAAAACAATATTTAAAAAGAATGTTTATTTTTCTTGACCGGTAACCCATAAAAAAACCCCTCAGACATTCTATCACCAGTTGACAAATGTACATTTACTCTGACAACACCTGAATTTGCATTCACTACGGACCAACTTACCCTCCATATTAAATTCATGTTGAACCCACCCCTTCTTGGCATCAGAGTTTATCTAGGCAAAATTTTAATCTTATACTTTAATGGTGCTCAATGTGATTAAATTCTGCCTACACCTTCAAATATATGCACTACAGTTACAACAAAAAGATACTTGCAAATTGCTGACAATCTATTCCCACTCATATTTAGAACCAGTTATAGATCTAATCCTCTGCTTGCTGTCAATACTTTCTGTAGTATTGCTTTCCATAGGTCAAAGATCCTTCTGCTCTACTCAGTCAAGTTAAAATCTTTCTATTACCTGTTTATATCTGGTTTAGCATTAATCTTTGGAATTTGCAAGGTAGGACTGATCAGAGAATGTATTAGTTCTAAAATACATATTTATTGCCTGTATTCACCATATCTACTTCAGTTTTTAATCATTCACATGAAGAATTAGTCAGTGTACCACCTAACAAAAATTTACATATTCACCATGAAACAAAATAAACAAGAATATTATTAACTCAAAGTTAGCACAATACTTCATGATACTCTATTGTACACAGTATGAGAGATTTATGGTAATTCTGAAACTGTCATTAATGAATCTGTGTCCTCTTGCCAAGTGTACAGAAATTTACTGTTAAAGTAAGTAACAAAAAAGAGGTGAGAAAGGACAAAATTAAATCCAAGTGTAAAAAGCTGCACAAGAGTTACATGACAGAGTGACTGAGAAATAAAACATCTGATAAAATTCAATAAATGTACAGTAATATACAAGGTAAAAAACAATCTCAAGTTACATTCACGAGGATGAGCACTGAAATAGCATCTACACCTCCAAGATCCTTCTCTGAAGCAAGAGATAATACTTTTACTTATAAAATGGCTGTCCAATACTCCTCTCATTACAAGAGCCAGGACACGCTGAACAGAATTATCAAGTATTAGGGTCAAAACAAGCAAGACAAGGTCCTCTCTCACACAGTGCACAGTTACGCACCAGAGCCATCTGCCCAAAAAATTGCAGACATCAAGATTTTTGGGCAAGTTCAAAAGTCAACTAGTAAAGTTCATGCAAGAAGACTCAGTCAAAGGCTCTAAAGCCTTTGAAGCACAAAGATATCATTTTAGGTTCAACGGTCACTGAGTTACAGGTTACTGGAAGCTGACAGGCTGTACTGGAGGAGCTCAGCTGTTATCTTCCCTCAGGGCCACTCGTTCCTGTAGGCACTGATCAGCCATTGTCAAAACCAGGTTGCTGAGTTAAGACAAATGTAGAAAAGACTGTTTTTATAATTCCTGCAATAAAAATGGAACTTTCACCAGGCACAAAGGAATCCAATTTAAAGTTCAGAAAGATTGTATATATTTTGCATGATTTATAATACATATACCAATCTTGCTGCTGGTTTTGCAGTAAAAAGAACATACACAAGATGGTTGTGATAAAATCTCAAACTAATATTTTTTTTTTTAAATCCCCCCCCAAAATAAAATAGTCAAAATTTTCCTCATATGCATCTTAAGCTACATTTCTGTAAAAAGTTGTTTATTTTAAGCAGCTGGCAATGCAGGTCTCAATAGAATACTGTAGCAAAACAGTGCTATGAAGTTAAATGTTTTTCATGTTTTAATTACAAAAGAGCCCAGTGGTACCAATATACTTTATATTCAGCAGTTATTATACTGCCTGTCCTGATGTTTAGTGTATAAAAATTCAATCTGCAAAAAGAAAAATAATGCCATGACCATCTTTTTTTTTTTTGTTTTTAATTCAAAGTAATACCCTTGAGAAATGCAGAAAACTGGGGAATGTGTGAGGAATTCACAGCTTTTCTAACTGTTTTCAAGCTGTGATTCTTCCAACGCCCTATATTTACTCCTCTCATCACTATCCTCAGTTGTATACCTCATGGTACAAGTACAACTTCTTGTGCCTAAAATAGAAGACCTTGTTCTTTGCAGCGAGTGGATTTTTAAAATATAATGGTAGTTGAGGAAACATTCTTCCTAGAAAACCTGTGTTTGCTATGTTAATTGCACTCCTGACGCACAGCTTGGATTCTGTGAAGAGAAGTAGGTCTCAAACTCATATTCCTGAGAAGCGACATTCTTCTGCTTTAGATCATGATGCCTTCCCCAGTACCCTGTGATTTACTGACAGATGAACCCCTCATCCATACGAATATCTCAGTGTAACTTTACTACCTTAAATTAGCATTTGTCCTAGATTAACTGAAATAATGTTGCTTCAGGCTACAGGAATTTATTTAGCTCTGCTCTATTTCAATCAAGTTGCATGAAATATTTTAAAAGCTAATACTCTTGCACTTACATAGATGACCCAAATGTATACGTGCGTAACTGAGACTAAAAAAATATTTGTCCTTCAGAGCTATATACTGACATTTTGCAATGTATATCTACTGTTAATTTTATTTTGAGATTCTGAACTGCATGCTATCTTGTTTCACTTATTGCAAAATTGCTACAAATTCAAAAGGAGAATTAAGAAGTAAATCACATAGTATCACCATTTTGCTCTGGCTCCAGTAAAGCAAGGCAGTGGAGATTCGTAGAAAAAAGAAAGTTGCTTCCATTGAAAGACAGTAATTTAGAGCAAACCCAGAAGGTCAATCATAAACCGGAATCTGGTGGTTTTTACCTCATAAAATAAAAGCTACAATAACACAACTTGATATCTGAAATTCTTGATTCTGACAAATAACTGCTGAAAATTCTTCTACAGTTTATGCCTCGCCTTGAGGCCAAGGTATCAGTGACTGTGGAATACTGACTGGTGGCTCCCCGGGCTACAGCTTCTCACTAAAGATGTTTCCTGGCCCCAGTCCAAACAGAAAATAGTTTGGTTTTTCTGATAGCAAGAAATGGCTAATGGGAACTCTACTGCTACTGTGAAAACACCAAATACAGAACACAGATCCTCACATTCCTAAATTCAGGAACTGATGATTAGTTATAAAATTGCAAATCCCGTTACATTAAAAGAGTGTGCAGAGATGCATATTTACTCCACCCATAAATTAAGATCCTGGGCATACAGACTCTTTTTTGCAGCAAAGACCTTCGTTAGAACAGTACCCTGGCCTAAAACAGAAGGCAGTAAAACCACTGCAGAAGAATAGTCACTGGAGCAAACTTAAACTTATGTATAAACAACAAAAGGGTAACTAATCTCATTAATCATAACCTGTTCTGCTCTGGATTAAATGTTTTGTTGTTAACAAATAACCCATGAGTTATTGATATAAAAATATTAAAAAGCCTTCAGAGACTTAATTCTTCCCTCTGATGGTAGCTACATGTGCATAGGAAAGCTATGTGGAAGAGCTGGACTATATCTTGAGGAAGCTGGCATTTCAGCTGTAGTTGAGAGCTTCTGAGCTCTGTTCTCTTTTTCGACCAAAGGTCTAATGTATCACTTTCTTAGAACGGGTTTTGATATTATCAGCAATATCATAATAATGTCTTCCTGTCCTATATTTGGTTTTGGAACTTTATTTTAAACATCAATGTAGCTATAGTCATATCAAAAAAGTCACTGTATTTAGTTCTTCATTTTACATGAGGATGCACTCAGAGAACTGATCTCCAAGTATCCTTCCAACAAAATAACTGAAGAAGTTTAATCAGGATCATTTTCTTCTGCTCAGCATCCTATCAGATCCTTTCATTGCCCCTTCAGCCAACCACCTCATCCACAGTATTTCACATTGAATTAAGTCAAGCACCTGACTCAGAATTCAAAAGACTCCTGGTAAATTACTAAGTAACAACAATTTCCAACTATTTCCATTTACATTTATGACTCCCAAGTCAGGGATATAGGTCTCAACAGTTGAAAAGTCAGAGAAGGAAGGACCCTGACTCAGAATTCAAAAGACTCCTGGTAAATTACTAAGTAACAACAATTTCCAACTATTTCCATTTACATTTATGACTCCAAAGTCAGGGATACAGGGCTCAACATTTGAAAAGTCAGAGAAGGAAGGACTATATAAAGCCCAATTAAAATTCTTTTTTTTTTTATGATGGCAGAAGCGGAGATAACCGTTAGGAAGAAGAAGAATATTGCCAGTTGTCAGCACTGTACTATTCATCTTGAATTCACTTATCCTCAGCTCAACAGCAGTTGGGGGAAAAAGGAAGTATGACGGAAGGCAGGAAGATGTATTTGGACCAGTAGCAGATGGTGCTACCAACAGGTAGGTATGAAGATGAAATCACAGCAAAATATGACAAGTCCCTATACAATTAATCTGAATTTCATTATTGCTATTGTAACATGCTTCCGTACAATCTTATATAGATTGCCATATAGATTGCCTTATATAGATTGCCATAACTGAAGCCAGAAAATTTAGAGTGGAAAATAATTTTAGACCAGTTAAATAAAATATCTGTATTTGTAATCCTCCTAACCCTCAGAGAAGTAATAAATAGTTAGACTCTAGAACAATACTAGTTGTTCTAGTTTGTGATTACTTTCTTGGTCCTCATGAAACTCCACACCTAGGACCACTGAAGTTAATACAATAAATTTCTTGATTAAATATTTACCATCCGAATGAGAGATTCACTATTCAGTGATAAAATCATTTGAAGCTTCAGCTGAAATTATAAGAAAATCATTAGTCTTTTTACCATGTGACAGACATGGTAAATCCATCTCAAGGAGCTAAGTTTTAACAGGTTGCTGCATTTTTCATTAGGAATTAAATAGAATATTGCATTCAACCAGATAGATAAAATCTGGTCAGTTTTCATTTTCAAGATTCATACAGTTTTATCTTTAGTTATTGTAGCTGAAGAGTATTAAATACACAACTACTGTTGGACTATCTGGCTAATTGCAAAGCCTATGCGCTTACCATAATTGTACTGCACTGCTCTGCTATAAATAGATGTTATACTATAAAAGCTGGTAAAAAATTGAAATGTAAATAGGTAACCTTTATACAGATGAAAATGGGAAGTAAAATGGGAAGCTATACAAAACAATGTATCAAGAAATAATTGAAAAATTTCCTATGATTTAATTAATTACTGTGAACTTCCTTTCAGTTTTGATTGTTACTGACACCAAAACTAAGTTCCGGTACTTCTTGAAGTTTTAAACTCCAAACTCATGACTCCAGGAGGTTGAGTTCATTCTTCCATGAAAGACATACTGTAACTCGAAATTGAAAACTGTAGATGTTATTTTAAGATAAAAGTTGTTGAACGAATAGGATACTCTTTGGAAAAGCATCAGTTTATAAACAACACCCAGTTGGGGCTATTTAGGTAGAAAAGTAGTACTTTGCAGTCCTAAGAGTGAACAAGAAGACTAAGAAGTAAATAGCAATATAGAAGTCAAGGAGGGCCACGAAGATGCTCAGAGGGCTGGAGCCCCTCAGCTGTGAAGACAGGCTGAGAGAGCTGGGGTTGTTCATCCTGGAGAAGAGAAGGCTCCGGCGAGACCTTAGAGCCCCATCCAGTACCTAAATGGGGCTATAGAAGAGATGGGGAGGGACTCTTGGTCAGGGAGTGTAGAGGGGTTATGGCTTTAAACTGGAAGAGATGAAATTTAGATTAGATATCTAGAAGAAATTATTAGTAGTGAGACACTGGCCCAGATTGCCCAGGGAAGTTGTGGATATCCCACCCCTGGAGGGGTTCAATGCCAGGCTGGATGGTGCTTTGAGCAACCTGGTCTGGTGGGAGGTGTCCCTGCCCAGGGCAGGGGGGTTAGAACTAGACAATCTTTAAGGTCCCTCTTCCAACACAAACCATTTTATGATTCAGTGTGAAAGAGTAAATTAAGGCAAATTATAGCACAAAGTGTATATTTATACCTAAGAATTGTATACACAGTTTATTTCACAGATAAATTTATCTTCCTCTGAAGAGAAGCAAGACAGCTAACACTTATGTTTACTTTTGTCAGACTAGTTACTCCAGTTAAAAAAAAAACACACAACATTAAATTGGAAGCCTTTAAAAAAAATGTGGTTCAGTACTATATTTGTAACAGATTAAGAACAAGAGTCCAAATGGGCAATATTCACAGACACTGATCCCAAGAAGCTTCTATTTTGAATAAAAATGCTGTTAGCACCCAAGGAACACTAGTGCTGAATATGACATTCAAATAAGAATCGTCAGTTCATGGCAAATTCACATACAGGCATTTGTACATAAAAAGAACACTTTTTTTTTCCCCTTAGAGGAATAATAATTATATTGGAAGCCTTTAAAAAAAATGTGGTTCAGTACTATATTTGTAACAGATTAAGAACAAGAGTCCAAATGGGCAATATTCACAGACACTGATCCCAAGAAGCTTCTATTTTGAATAAAAATGCTGTTAGCACCCAAGGAACACTAGTGCTGAATATGACATTCAAATAAGAATAGTCAGTTCATGGCAAATTCACATATAGGTATTTGTACATAAAAAGAACACTTCTTTTTTTCCCCTTGGAGGAATAATAATTATTCTACAAATAGTCACCTTGTGGTTGACGACTTGGATGATATATCTGAAGATCAAAAGGCTGAGCACTTGTTTTTTGTATTACACTGACATTTTGGCCAGTCCATTTATTGGCTTTTGCAAGTGTGTTGGTCCGCCAGTCCGTCCAATATACTTCACTCCCATACAAATTCCCTATACTTTTTTTAAGTTCAAATTTACCCATACGCTGGGAAAATACAGTACAAAAATTAGTTTCCATTCAGATAAACTTATGGAAAAAAATAATGAAATAGCTCGGGTCCTCCATGTGTAAGTGTCAGGGAGGACAAATGGGCTTTCTAGGGCACAGGGAGCCAGAAGCCACGGATGATACCACAGCTGGTAGGGCAGAAGCTTCACTGCCCAGGCCCACATCCCACTGCCCCCGAGCAAGGCTAGCAGGGCAGGCCCCAGGGGTGACAGTCAGGTTCAACCAAGAGCCCTATATTAATTTAACTAAGGATAAAAGATACTGGTTTTTTTTTTTCCCTATACTTTTTTTAAGTTCAAATTTACCCATACGCTGGGAAAATACAGTACAAAAATTAGTTTCCATTCAGATAAACTTATGGAAAAAAATAATGAAATAGCTCGGGTCCTCCATGTGTAAGTGTCAGGGAGGACAAATGGGCTTTCTAGGGCACAGGGAGCCAGAAGCCACGGATGATACCACAGCTGGTAGGGCAGAAGCTTCACTGCCCAGGCCCACATCCCACTGCCCCCGAGCAAGGCTAGCAGGGCAGGCCCCAGGGGTGACAGTCAGGTTCAACCAAGAGCCCTAATCACCAGAAAAGTTGTAGTGATGAGATAGGGTCAGGCCAGGAAGCTACCCTATGGGTTGGGATCTGGACCAACAGGTTCCATTGCCCAGCAGTGCCGTAGCTGGTCTGGAGACTGGTGCTCGCCTGGTGTCAGGTGGACCAGGGACTGAGCTCCAGGGCTGAGCTGAAATGGGCTGCTGGGCCCATGGGCAGGGTGTGCAAAGAGAGGTCTCTGAGAAGCCTGGTCAGGGCCATTATGGTCTGCAGGTGCAGAACATGAAGAAATTATGTACAATAGTAGTGTGTAGTGATGAGATAGGGTCAGGCCAGGAAGCCACCCTATGGGTTGGGATCTGGACCAAAAGGGCCCATTGCCCTGCAGTGCTGTAGCTGGGCTGGAGACTGGTGCTCGCCTGGTGTCAGGTGGACCAGGGACTGAGCTCCAGGGCTGAGCTGAAATGGGCTGCTGGGCCCATGGGCAGGTCTCCGGGACGTCTCTGAGAAGCCTGGTCAGGGCCATTACGGTCTGCTGGTGCAGAACATGAAGAAATTATGTGCAATAGTAGTGGGGCTGGAGACTGGTGCTCGCCTGGTGTCAGGTGGACCAGGGACTGAGCTCCAGGGCTGAGCTGAAATGGGCTGCTGGGCCCATGGGCAGGTCTCCGGGACGTCTCTGAGAAGCCTGGTCAGGGCCATTACGGTCTGCTGGTGCAGAACATGAAGAAATTATGTGCAATAGTAGTGGAATTAAAGACATGTACATTTGCACACAAGACTCCTTATGTACATAATGTCCTCTTACAATGCAGTTCACATTTCTGTATGTAAGAATAAGGATTTATAAACAGATAAGAAGCATATTGTTATCACTTTACCTGGCATCTGTCCATACTATTCTTTTTTCAAAGTGATCTACAGTAAGGCCATTAGGCCACGCTCCAGTATCCATATCTTTGTATATGATCTTTCTTTCCGCTCCGCTCATGGAAGCGGATTCAATGCGAGGAAAATTTGCATCCCAGTCTGTCCAAAACAGAATTCTGGTAAGAGGAAAGGGGGAAAAAAAAAAGAGATATAAGAAAATATTAAAGTACACAACATAATTGCAAATGGTTCAGTACGATATAGTTGGCAAAAAATATCAAACCTTTACATGTTTTAAATGAAAGGAATAAACAGAATAATTTGGGCAACAATATGAATTCCTTGAGGTAATAGGGTAACATGGAAGTAATATTTCATTATTAGTGTCACTGCAATCATGAAACTCAAGAAGTTCTAGAAATTTAATAGCACTTCCTTTTTCATGTTTGTTAATAAAAGTAACAGCCTTGTCTTGTCTTCCTTATATAATTAGAAACCCAGCTCATTACAAAAAATTATAATGAGAGCCTTTAAAGCAATCCACAGATCAGGAGGATTGGGAGGGGAGAAAGGGAAGAAAGGTGATTTGAGGTAGCAGGGACTAAGAAACGTGATAAACTAGAGATTTCTTTTTAATATTAAGAGTGTTCCAATGAAGATCCCTAGATTTTGGTATTTCACTAATGAATTTTATGCAGATTAGTCTTTGTAAGAAAACTGAAAAGCTATGTTGTATGGCAGGCTCTCTCAGTTATGTACTATCTCTAATCTGTTTTCCAGTAAGGTGAGCTTCAACTATACAACCAAAGAAGTTTCCTGTTAAGTAACAGAAGCAGTGTCACCAAGAGGCCAAAATACATTCTAACTGTTCTTAGCTTGTTTTCAACAGTTTTTTTTAATATTATTTTTTAAAGGAAATTAATACTTTTGACATGAAAACTTTTAGTTGTAAAGAGCTAATTGCAGAGAGTCAGACTGTAATGAAACTTTTGGTAAATAACAAAGAGCTAATTGCAGAGAGTCAGACTGTAACGAAACTTTATCAGACAGCTTCAGTCCTGAACATACAGATACCATACATCTAATGAGGCTCCTCCATGTAGTATCTGGGAAAAAACAGCAGATGATACATTTAAATAATAAGGGATAAGGGTATAAAAAGGCCTGTTTTCCTACTGAATTCCATTTCTCTCTCCCTGGATGAAGGTCTCTGCCCCACGTACGCTGTCTGTACAAAAAAAAAAACAACTGTGGCCAGTGGCTGGAGCCATATGACAGGTCCCAGGGCCCGTACCTCCGGGGTGGCAGCCTCTGGAGCAAGTGAGGGTGTTCATGTCAGCATGAGATCACTGGCAAAGGCAAAGGCAAAGCCAGACCAGCTGCTGGGGGGTTAAGTGGCTTGGCAGCCAGATGTATGTTTGTGTCTCTGGGAGCGAGGCACCTTGGGGAGCTGGCTTCTAGAGGGATCAGGGGGCATCAGGCCAACTGGCAGAGACACCATGAGGTCTGGAAGCTGGCTGAGACATTTGAGTGTGCATGAGCATGGCAGCTGGGATGGGGAGGATCCAGAACCAGCTGCTGGGTAGGACTGGGTGCCTACACCCAGCTACAGCAGTGTGCATGGTGGGATCCTCACCAGCAGCTGGCCTGGGACTGCAGCTTGGAGAGCTCATACATCCTAGAACCAGCAGCCGGGCAGCCCAGCCATCCCAGGGCCAGCCACTGGGTAAACTGGGTGTCAAAAGCCAGCTACTGGAGGAATCCACATTATATACATAAATATTTCCCAGTAAAAGTCCTTCATCCTTAACAGACATTAACAGGATAAGACCATTGGTGCTGTTTGTTTGTGTCAATGCTGAGAGTTTCTGCCTGTGCAGACCTTTACGAGCAGTTGTGTTTATGCATATATGTTTATATACGTTAAAACGTGCATCTGTGTGCGTGTGGACTGGGAATACAGCCTCACTGCAGGCTGGAATCACAGGCACGGAGCTACGGCAGCCTCACCATCTACTTTGAATCACTGCTTGTTTATTCATATTTATTTGCAAAAAGATGGAAGAGCTGTTCCCATCTGTGTTCAAAGATTTTACTCTTTCCTCACTTCTAACAAAATGTAGCACACAATTGCTTCCAGCTTTTCAAAAGGCAGATTAAGCCTTCCGTTTCAGGAAGAGTGGCAATTTGATTATTTTTCTTTCCCCTCCCAACCATTTAATTTAAAAAGCTTATCTGCCAATTCTTCTGCCAACAGGACGCCTCTTTTTAAAGATCTCTATAGATAAGTGATGCACTCTGTAAATAAACTTTCTAGCACCTGAATTGTGAGGACAGGGTCCTGACTCATTAAAGTATATACTTCCTAATTCAGAATTTTAGGTCTCAGAGGGACCTCAGTTCTCAGAACCTGGCACCTTTACCCACTTTTATTTTTATGTCCACAGCGGTGTTTCTGAAATGAATATTCAGTGAAGACACATGCTAGACCATAGCAGGTTCCTAAAAAAAAATGAAATATGCTGATTCTGCAAACTCATTGTAATGTATATTATTTTTGACGACATTTAATTTGTTGTTTTCGTATGGTTTTTTCATTCCCTGAAGAACAATAGTTATAAGAAAAGGATGTAGCTATTGACCATTACGTGGTGGCCACTCTAAAAGGATCTGGCTACACACAATATTGGGTAATGAGGTTTCTGTAATGAGTTTGCAATTTCATATAGCTTCAAAACACTGCTCCAACACCAAGAATCATAATTTTTATATTTCGATACAGAATCAGAACCTACATCTAGCTTTACAGGGAGTGAAGGGCTCCGTTAATTTTTTCTTCCTCTTCCACTACTTAAGTCTATTGAGATAAATTTTAATATAAATGGCATGTATGGGTCTTTTTTTGCTCTGGCAAAAAAATGAGGTGCTAATTTTTAAAGGAGCCAAAAATTTCCTAAGAAAAGTTTTAAAAATTATACTTTATGGGAAAACAGTTTCTATTGTGTTCGCATATTACCAAAATCAGGCAATATTTTAATTTAAGCATACTTTTAAAAAAAAACAAAAACGTTAAAATCAAATTAGGAACTATAACTCACAGCAAAAAAAGGAAAAAAAATAATTTCACACTTAAACATGTACCTTTAAAATACTTTGCAATATGAAAAAGTAATATTTTTCTAATTACCCATATCTGGGATCCAACGCAATAGCCCTCGGATGTTCCATAGCTCCTGCTATTAATGTTGTTCTCAAACTGCCATCTAGTTTTGCTACTTCAATTTGGTCCAAATTGCTGTCTATCCAGTATATGTTGCCTGCAATCCAATCTACAGTAAGACCTTCAGGTGTGGCCAGGCCATGTTGCACCACAACCTCAATGGCACTAACACCTTAAAAAAAAAAAAAAAGAGAAGGAAAGGGAAAGGGGAGAAAGAGTATTAAAGAACTAATAGAGTCTGATACTGTGAACATGGACATACAAGTCTATCATATGTTCTTGGAGCGAGTTCTTGATTAATCTGATGGATGACAATACTTTGTTCCACGTGACATTTTCCCTTTACAAATGCAATCAACTGCTGTAAATAAGTACACTTTTGGCAATATACAAATAAAATTCATTCGACAGCAACATACATTTTTATTTCTTTGATGCTTTAGTAAGGAAAGCTCTGAAACTTTCAATAAAGGTCAGAGATCATATGCAGTGTAAGACAGGAGACATGCATGTGTCCTGTTACCAGGGACCTCACTGAAGGATGTGCTGCTGATGCTTCGTTATTTCTTTGATGCTTTAGTAAGGAAAGCTATGAAACTTTCAATAAAGGTCAGAGATCACATGCGGTATAAGACAGGAGACATGTGTGTGCCCTGTTACCAGGGACCTCGGTGAAGGATGTGCTGATGATTCATCTCCCAGGAACTAGAAGTACTAGACAAAAATCATGCAGCTCTAGTTCAGTTCTTTCTCAATCAGAAAAAGAGACAACTGAAAGACAGAAATGGCAGGGAGAACCCTGTTTCTCAATCAGAAAAAGAGACAACTGAAAGATCATGAAGACGACAGAAATGGCAGGGAGAACCCTGCTTGGGCTACCCATTCTGAAAAGCTCTACTATAAATCACCTTACTTTGTTCCTTCACATTCACATGCACTATTCATACTGTCAGCTGTTCCCTCCAGACCATCTGGAGGGTCTCAAAATTTTTCACACAAAGGGCAACTTCAGAAGCATTCTGTTAGCCCTCAGGACTTCCAGGAAGGCATGGTACTTTTGGCAGTTGCAAGTTAGTACTTGACAGCTGCAAGACTGAGGGAGCAAGTTATTATTTTTTCTTAATCCAGCACAGAAGTCACTTGGGTTCTGTGTGATTGTAATACAGCGCAACAACAACAGACTACCTTATTGTTTTCATACAAACACCACAACCATTAATGAAAAGTAGCAAGACTTTGGCTGTCTTTACATACTTAGCAGTGCAGGATATTTCTTTCCTGGTCTGGATCTGTGGATATAAAAATATCCACAAGTACCATCTACTAAGGAGAAGAAAAAAAGCAACCCAGAAAACTAAGAAATGTGTTGGAGAACATACGACATGCATATGTGAACTTTTACCAAAGCAAGTTAAACATGGTTATGCCTGTTAGTTTGTGCAGGAATGAAAGCATCTGAATATACACCTCAACAAGGAACATTCATATTCATTCAACAAAGACTTTCATATATATTATGAGATTATATTGAGTTACAGGCCATTTATTATGTCACTGGGGCAAAGAACAAGTCTTTCTGAATGCTATACAATTTTGAAACAAAATTTTTTCATCTAGTGAGAACAGATAATTTATCGGACATCTTATAAATTCTTGTATTTTTTTAATAAGGTGAAAGTAAATTACAAAAAGTGAAAACAGGCAATACTGCACTCATTGGACCAGGAAGAAATATTAGCCCTTTTCATTCACTATTTTCTTCCCCCTACAGGCTGTTGCAAAAGGAAACTTTTATGACAAAAGGTCTACATGATGCACAACCTAGACATACTCATTTTTAAAGGCAGAATGCCATCATAAATCCATTTCTGTGAATGGCAGCTCAGGTACAACACCCTGTAATGGCAGTTGTTCTTACTGTTAAGAAATTAAAAGTTAAATTCATACCTCCAGTGTCAGAGAGTTTGCCTCTGTAAATTTTGTCCTCTACCACATCAGTCCAGTACAGTAAACTCTGACCGAAATGAAAATCAAGTGCTATTGTATTTCTTAAACCAGGAACTAAGAGGCTGTAGTCACGTTTGTGAAGATCAATTTTTCTGATCTCATGTCGAATAGAAAAAATTATGAAAGCCTCAAACGGATCTGGAAACAGAAGATTATACATTTCAAAAGAATAATAAATAAGATATTGTTACATATTGATATAAATGACAAGTGGAATAAGAACAACAGAATACTTTATCACGAGAAACAGATGATTAAAACAATTCATCTTCTGATAAGGAGTCTTTCAGATACATTTTTAGACCCACAGACTTCTCACTTCTCCCTTCTAGCATTATCTTTGATCGCAACTAGCGATATTAAACATTAAATTCTGGAATATCAAACTCAACTACTGAACTGTGTTTTGTAGCTCCACCCCATGGAGTCCATAATTGGAGCTTTAAAAAGTCATGTTATCATAATCAGAATCTGTTTTGTCAAAAGTTTCAGAAATAATTAATCCATTAAATTATACATTGTTTCAAATGCCAGTTAAGTTTAAACCATTTACTAAAATATATATATAATGTACTTTGTGTTTTCAGTTGAATTGCTTACAAAAAACCAAACCAACCCTGACCTTAAATGACCAAGCAAGGAAATGAATACTTTATATGCTTATTGATACAACCCATCACAACTACCACTAAAATTCTCTTTCCTTGGCTATTCAATTAATGCTAGATCATTTGTGCCTGTGAATTTATATCAAATTATACATGAGTATCTGTAAACGCTCTTTGCATAGGTCAACCATCCTACAGAATTGGTTTTTTTTATTATCATTCTTACATATTTTAGATTAGGAAAAGTTTTTCAAACAAGTAGCTGTGTTAATAATACAAACAAGACAGACAAAACTTGGATTCTATAAGCTGTTGAATCAACTTGGTATATCCACTTTAATAAAGAAAGTTTTTCACATTAATCCATCTCCCCTCTCCCCCGAGTTCCTTTTCCTAGAGTGAAACACAAATGATATTGGGGTTTTGTTTTCTATACAATTAAACCTCCATGTTATATAAAAGACAGATCATCGGCAGTTTATAGCAATAGACAATATTGCATTGTTCTTCTGCAATATTCAAAGAAAATGTCACACAAGTTATCACCAAATAGAAATATACTTATAGACCTCTTTTTGAACAGTTTAATTTCATGTTCTTGTCTTGATAACCATTGCACATTCAGATCAAATTATCTACGGTGATTTACGTTAATCAGGTACCTCAGTAGAGCTATGTTTCTGCTCTTGAAGCACTTGTTCATAATCTCGGCTTGGACATTCCAAATGATTCTCCAATTTGTTAAAGCAATGAATAACTTTCTGCAAAGCCAATTTTTCAAAGCTCTGCAGTAGTTAAATAATGTAATGAAGAACAGGATCACTGACGTTAGTAGCTATTTCACAAGTACCAGTTATCTGAACCTGAGAAACACTTTAATGGCACTTCCCAATTTCTGATGAATTTGCAGCTATTGTGCAGGACACCACAGACTACTGACATACTGTTTTTTAAGCAACGCCAATGCATCAGAACACACTTGATGGACATCATCAGTAGCTTCTTTTGTGTGTCTCAGTAATTAGCACCACAATGGAAAACTGAAACCTGATAAATCTGTGCTACATTGGAAGGGGTTTTTTCATTCAAAGTGGAGGAAGTCTAGCTTAAGCTACGTAATTTACAGTGCAAATGATCAAGTACACTGATGAAAAGGACTAGAGTCCAATGGGATCTTGACAAATTTAAGGTATAATACTTATGAAATGTAAATCAACAGCAAGAAACGGGTAAGAAAATGTGTGTAGGCAAAGTAACATCATTTCCTTTAGTTTCAATGAGCAAGTCATATGCTGGTTTTTTTCCCCTCTTTCTAACCCTTCCCATAACAAAGATGTAAATTCAGATCCTTGGTTACTGTGGCTGACACACGGTCAAGTCACAGATGTAATACTACATAAACAAAACAATGATTGACAATGCGACAAACAAGACAATGCATTGCAGTCCAAAATTTCTCTGGAAAGAATTCAGAAAGCAGAAAGAAAGCAGTTTTACAAGGGTTCCTCTCTGATAAGGCTATTTAAATATAGCCAAACGGATAGCAGTAATTATTGCCTGGCTGCTGAGTTGTGAGCCAGAGTCCAGCCACCACTCTGCTTTACCTAATGCAGCAATCAATCACCATAGCCTGGGTGACTGCAGTCTAGAATTGTATTATTGTATGTGTATTAAGGACCACGTTTCAAGGATAATAAGCTGCATAAAATTGAGTATACAACTGATAGGATACCAGATCTGTCGGAAAGAATCTAGAAAATTAGATCATGGCACTGTAAATAAGGTCGACTCAAGGTTTGCACTTGAAATAAATATGACATAACCCTTCCACTCCCTCCCCCTAAGCTCTGTTGAAGGCAGTCTACATTACTGTACCCTGTTCTGAGCATAGGATGCAAATCAACTGCAGGAATGCAAAAAGAAATCAGCAAGAGTTGTACAAGATCTAGAAAGTGTGGCCTGCAAGGAAAGAATGAACAAACTGGAATTGCTCAGTTTAAAAAGCAACAGGATAAGATGATGAGTGGAAGCACATAAAATTCTCCGAAGACATAACAGGCTGATGAGTTGAAAATGGGAAAACCCTTGTTTTGTATATAAATAACAAGTAGGCCAAGGATTAAAGGCTTAAACTGGAGCTGGAAGAAGCAGAAAGACTAGGAAAAAAAATGTCTTAGGAGAGTGAGGTACTAAAACATCTCACCCCTGGGAAACTTCACCACTGACAGTGTCTTGAAGGTCTTTGGAGTCAGATAAACAACAGCAGTATTAGTTAGCTTTTGATCTTCCTTTCAACCTTATCATTCAATGACTGTATAAAACGAGCTATATTATAGTGAATTAGAATTTTTAGACTAAATGGAATCAATTTTATTTAGGGTTATGCTTCCATCACCCTATAAAGCAAAAAAACCTGATGTTATTTTCCCACTTGATTCCTCTTCTAAAAATTGAGTGCAAATACTTTTTATTTTGCCAATTGATTTTTTTTCATAAAATCTCACCTTAACTCAGTTCAATGTAATGGTTATTGATCCCATTCTTTAAAACTTTTTTAAAAGAAAAGCAATGGTTAACAATTTATTAGAGAAAAATCATACAATTCCGTTCCTTCTGATTTCATGACTGCACCAAGCTTTTTTACTATATAGGTAGGTGCATAAAGTATATGATAGAAATGTAAAGCATGAACTGCTTTAACAGTTGTAAGAAAAAATTCAGAAGAAAAATGCCTAAACAACACGCTCAAAAAAGACTGTATAGAAAGAATAATGCTTCACCTTTTCCTGTGGTTTTAATTTAAAACTCTCTTTCTCAGGAAAAATGCTAATGGATGCTTCCTGTAACAACAGTAACACAGCAAGCAACCTACACTGGGCTTTTATGAAATTTACCTCAAAGGAAAATGATAACTTCATAAAGAGACTTAAAAAAAAAAAAAAATCATTAAAAGTTTGACATTGCTCAGAGAGGATTGGACCACCCCAAACTCAAGTTGAAAGTACTGAAAGCTATCTGGAAATTATAAAAAAATTGAATTTAAACCCATCTAAAACAGATCAAACATATAAACACAACATCGTCTTTTCAAAATATGTGTATCTACTTATATAGCAGAGTTCCCACAGCTTAGAAAAGGTTGACAGCCATTGTTAACTAAATCTATACTAAGTGCTTCTGAGTTTATCTAACTTTTATTATACTAAATTCTGAAAAGCTGAACATAAATATTAAATTTAAATACTTTTCATGAACATTTTTTTATGTATTCTTATTATCATTTAAAAGAGTTCCAGTGGAATATATCAGCACAACTTAGTTTGAACTGTGTTCCAAGAGAAACTAGGAAGAAGAGTACGAAAATATGTAATTTATATTGACTTTCTATCTGAATAATGGAGCTCTGTAGTACACTTTTAGTTCAATCAATACAAATTTAAGCGTGAATGAAACATTTCGTCTTTGGGAAGTCAGTAATGTAACAGTACATATGCCAGAACAGCAATAAGCAAACTAGATGAAAACAAGAGACATGGAAAGTGAAGAAACTCTGAAGGAGAAAAACACTACAACACTTAAAACCCTCAAGAACTGAAGAAAACATAAGCAGAAATAAGGGAAAACACGGAAAACTAAGAGAAAGACACTGAAAAAAAACATTGAAAGGGAAATTATAAAGAAAAGAACTGCTCAATTCAAGCAATTTATTTCTGCATAATTCTTATTCCATAACTCATTATATTTCTCATTAGATTCCTCTGACAAACACATTATTTGATGCTGATATGCCATCCAATATAAAAAAAAATAAATCCCATACATTACTACATCTTCAGTATTCAGATCCGCATTACATTTCTGATGGACACTCAAGTAAGTGTTTTTAGAATATTTTGAAAAAGTGAAGTGCTGCATACTAACTTTACCAGGTATTTCTGTGTGCTACTGAAATAGGAAAGTGCTATTTTAGATAGCAAAAAAAAAAAAAAAAAAAAATATCTATGTAAAGGCAAGGTAATCATTTTCCTCTGAGTAATTTTTTTCTCCTGGAAAAATGACTATTAGTTACTGCTCTAATATAATAGACATCTACTCCAGGTTCAAGACATTTTAAATCACTATAGGTCTTCTAAGAAATACTTTATACCAACTGGTCTTATTGCCAAACTGGCAGTTTGGCATTTGGGGGGCTGTTTATCTTCGCCCAAACACTTTGAACTGCACTTGTAATAGTACTTGAAAGCTTTTTTCTTTATTTTATGTTCATTTAAGATCTCATGCACAGAGACATAAATGGTGTGGACATTTTGAAGCTAACAGATTCACAAATGAGACCAAAAGTGCGCTCACTTTACTGAAATGCTGTTCACACAGTCAACAACTACAGTATCAGAGGATCTGTCCTTCAGAGTATTTATCGTGCCTTTCAAAAGAAATAAACTGAAAGAGGGCAAGATTATTAGTGACTCTAAAGCATATGTCATATTTAATATAGAATAATTTTGTAGCAGCTTTGATGGCATTAGGATAGTATCTTTACAGATTGTAAAGAAAGGTATCATTCTTTCTTTGTATCTGCTGACAGCACTGGTCTGAGACCATATATTTAATATTACATTCTTTGTGAAAGTCTGTAAAAATCAATTTGTAACTTCACATTCTCACCAACACCTGTAAAAATTAAGCAGAAATATCTCATGGGCTTAAAAGAACCTGAGAAACTGTAGTCTCACGTTACTTACTTTTCAGCACAAGTGACTATATTTCACTTTGGGATTTTCTCCCTTAGCTTCCAAATACAGGCCTTTTCTATTTGCTTTAATTAAAGTTTGTTTCAAGCTTTCCTCCACTAACACTGTCTTAAATGATTTTAACCCTCTCATTTCTGTAACCCAGTAAGAACACTTTTTGAATTATTGGAAATGTCCATAATAAAACAAACAAATTAGACTGATGAAAAGTCAACGAGAATAAGACTAAACCAGTGTCATAAATAGGAAATTTAGCAGCAATAAAATAAGGTTCAGATATACAGAACCACAATAATATGCCAGTGAAGCACGATTTGAGAGTCTCCTATCAACATAGCTCAGTAACATCTGAACAACATACATTCCTGATCTCATGCTGTAGTAGTAACTATTTACATACAGTAGTAACAACTATGGAAATACAAAGACTCGATTTGGAGATCATTCTGGAAATTATAACAACAGTTATTCCAGCCTGATGAATTTAAACCACATTCTTAATGAATCAAAAAAAAAAATAGCTCAAAGGCAAGTTGTGTCATTTAAGAGAACATCCGTGACAAAACTAAATTTTAATTATTCATTGTTTTTGTAAAAAGAACATTCTTTTTATTACATGTTGGCCATAAGTAAATTATGGGCTTCATTACTACTGTAACAAAGTTCTAAAATGTTTCGTAAATTAGCTCAAACATTGTCAAAACAGAAGTATTAGAATTAGCCTTTCTGAAATATGGACCATTAAAAGTTGACTACTAACTACTAAATTATTTCAGGTGAGTGGCAATAGCAAACTTGGGGTTTTATTCCTAGCTTTGTAATCATGCTTTAATACATATCAATAGTGAGCCATGAGGGGAATGCATTCCCCTCTCCCATTTTGGCATCTGTTGGTTTTCTTCTTAATTAGTGAGCTAAATGGGCTTAGTGATGTCAAAAAAACCCAAGTACCACAATGTTGAAGGTGAAAAATTAGCTTAAATCATGAACGCTAACAGGCAGTAGATAATTGGCTGTGTGTGCATGCACGTTCAAAATTAAACTTCTGAACCCTCAAGTAAAACTGATCAGTGTCATGTCACAGATTGATCCATTTCTTCAAAGCACAGAGAAAATCCCTCCCTCATATTCCATATATACATACACACACATTTATATATCTCCCCCACATATTAAATATACATGAAAAACTGTATAAATCTTCAAACAACTTAAACAATATTTGGTATTAACATTCTTAGAAAGTCTTAAAGGAAGGAACTAACATTGCAATACCCTTTCATTCTGTATCAAGAATAGGGACAGTTTTAATGAGTTCTTCAGGTCGCTATCAGCCCCATATTTGGATAACCCAAGCCTGTATTTCTTAGGAAAAAAAGAGTAAATAACCTCTCACTAAATGGACATAACAGCTATTAACATCTGGAATACTGCAAATAGACGGAATTCCAACTTACCAGTACTAACACAATTTTCTCCATCCTTACTGAGCTTCCAGCCTTCGTAACATGAGCACTTGACAGTATTTTTATGCTGTTCACATACTTGACTACACTTAAGGTGCTTGGTACAGTAATCCATAATCTCACAAGTTTTGTTGTCTATACTAAGACTGAATCCTGCAGGGCAGGAGCATACAATTCTTCCTCCGGGAACCACAGAACATTGATGGCTACATCCACCATTGTTGAGTGAACATTCATCTGAAATAACATGGAAAAAAACCAAACATTAAGGTCTGCAAGGGCTGTCAGTTGCATTGCATATTCTTAAAGTCACCAGGTCATCTAAAAATGAATAAAAGGCCTCTAACGAAATGCAAACTGAATTTCAAATTTGTTAAACAGCCTTCTATATTCCTTTTTATAATTACCTAATTTTTAAGTATCCAGTGGGTAGCTTTATTACCACCTTTCAAGATTTTAGCATGGCAGATGTTTCAGACTTTCATGCACAGTAGTTCATTCATTAATAATTAAACAGTGTCCACACAGTGCTGATGCACAGAGAAATAAGCACATTTTCTCAAAGACTTCCCTTGCTTCCAGCCACTTGAGCTTTCAGGGAGAAGGCTCCAACTCTTAGTCCTACATGTCTTTAGCACAAGCAATTTGTTAAAGAAACATGTACAAATAACTAGTAAATATCAGAATTTCTTTCTCCTCCTTTTAGAAAACAGCTAGGAGAGAATGCTGCTTCTGTATTCCCTGTGTCAGTGCTCTCACATTATATTCTGCAGGTAACTGATGATTTTCAAAGCTGTGCTAAATGAATTGAAGGTGATTTGTGAAACCTTTAAAGCATATGCGTTAAAAGCATGATAATCATGTCTGTGCGAAATTCTGTGACCTTTGGAGCAAAAAAGCATAGAACTACTCCTTACCTCATAGTACTACTGATATGCAGGGAATCAATGGGAGGGCCAAACTGGTCCATTGTTGCACTGGAAGCTAGGCTTCACTTTTATTTTTTTAATCTCTCAATGCCTTTAGTTATTTTGTTTGATTCTAAGCCATCTCTGAAAGCCTTACTCACTTGTAATAGGAGGTAAAAATACAACAGTTTTCTATAGAAGAATTATTTCCTTCCCACCCCCCCAAAAAATAATCTCACAGTTCAGATTTCAAGTTTGGTTTTTTGTGGCTTTTTTATCTTGACAAAAAAGAATGAAGGTCTTTAATGTGTTTAACATGTTAATGTGTTGCTCAACATCCCATATTTGCCCTTCAGTTTATGCTCAGGTAGGTTTTAAAACTAAATAATTAACAATTGCTGAAATACCTGTTGACCAATAAGAGGTCAACAGGTATTGTTGCTGTTGCCCAACCAGCGACCTCTGCCTCCTACAGTGAGCAACTTCCTAGGAAAGATAGATCCTAGAGGGCAAAAATGCTTGCAAACATCTCCAAATGCTGTGTAACAACGCTGGAGACTGTAAAATATTTTATGCAAAGCAGAGTAAGTGGGAAGAGGCACATTGTTGATACAATAAAAACAATTATAAAATTACTTAAGTTTTTCCTACAAACCATGTTTCACTTTTGTCCCTAAACCATCACTACAGTACAATAATGCTGCTACAGTACTGTAAGTTCTTTTAAAAGCTATTCATTTAATCTTTGCATATATTTTATAATAATTCAATTAGGTTACCTGCTATACTCCTGTCAGATTTATAAAATTATTTTTGTACGTTTTTTACTGAATACAATTTTGCTGAGATAACCTACGTTGTCTGACATGCCATGAAATCCTTTCAACACCACCTTCAGGGAGACATGTTAACTCCTCCTAGTCATCCCAATGCATTTCTTCACAAACTCCTACACAGCTGCTGACAGGATTCTATCAACCCAAGCTTCTGTAGCTGGAGGGAACTGCAAATTAGCTTAAATCCTTTCATATATACCAGAGCCTTTTAAATTGTTTACCTCCAGGAGCGTTTTAAGGAGTTAGGAAATGAAAGACTTACCTAGGGAACTACGTTTTCCCTTATTTGAAGACAGTAATACTTAAGCACAAACCCAGTATTGGTCTAAAATAAGTAAAAATCCTCACATAGGCTACCGTGATAAAATTTCCATAAGATTAGCGTGAGAACTGGTTTTTTTATCAGTACATATTGTGACGGACAATATCAAGAATAATCAGGAAAATGCGTCTAAAAGAAGTACCACAAAGATCGCCTTCATCAGATCCATCAGGACAATCTCTTCTCCCATTGCAGAGCTTCTCAGGCTGTAGGCAGATGGAGGTATCATTAGCACAAGGGTATTTTGGTGGTCCACACATATAGCCCTCGCAATTATCCTCATCAGACTGATCCTCACAATCAATATCGCCATCACATAGCCACGCTTTGCTAATGCATCTCCCTTGGAGAAAAGAGACAATAAACACAGGAAATCAGACTGGAAGCAAACTTTAGAGAAAACCTTCAGTAACATTACATAGATTTTTTTTTTCTTTAATGGTTTTCTATTAATAGTACTTTCCTCTTAGATGAGCAGAAAGAAACCAACTTGTACTTATACTCTGAAGCATCATCCACATCAGTGTTTACAGTCTAACTTTCCAAACAACTCCAATCCTAATTATTTCTACACTGAACAGAACCACATGCAAGCGGGACATATCCTCATAACCATTTAAATAGACCAAATTATACTAAAATGTTTAATTATTATTATTTTTAATTGCTGCTTTTCTTCACTTCTCTTTCTTTACCTTCTACTCCAACAGCCTTCCATAGGAGCAATGTTTCAATCCATGACTTGCTGTTAGCATGGCTTTGAGAAAGAAAAATCTTTCTAGGAAGCATACACAATACATTCCTGGATTATGTCAGAGAAATGTTTAGCTTTTAGACAAAATAACTACAACAGAAGAAACTTTGTACATTACTTCAGTTTAACCAAACCAGGGTTCAGATTGTTTCCTTCTCTCCTTCGCCCTTTTCCTTCAAAAAGGGGGGGTGGGGGGTGGATTTCCACTTTTGTGCTGACCATGAAAGTTTAGAGGTGCAAGAGAGTCTCTTGAATAAGAAAGGAGTTATGATCTTTAAAAAACATACAGGTATTAAATTATAATCACCCAAGTCAGGGATTTCAATAGGTAAAAAAAAAAACAAGATTGTGAATGGAGGTGTGTATGTGTGGTGTGTGCTTCTTTCCCAAATGATTTTTCAACTCTCAAGCCTAAACTTGTGACTCGTCAACTACAACCAGCAGGGGCTAATTGCAAATTTTGATAACACTTGGATAGAACAGAAGTGGCATGTACGTTATTCTCCAACAAATAAAGAGACAACAGGTAGAACCACGAGTTAGGAAGCTGATCTTGCACTGTATTTCTGCCTGAGAAAATCAGGCTGGAATGGGAGAACGAAGATCCTGTCTGGATCTGCTGACGGCAATGCTGGTGGATGCCCAGGGAGTGACTGGTGATGCCTGAGACTGGTAACTGCAAACTTGCACAGCATGAACTGACACAACTTTCTGCCCAACTTTTCCAGTTCAGCAGCAATCTTCCCAGTAGGAAATTGAGACGACTTATAACTTTGTGGGGGAAGCAAGCAAGTGAGAGTGTGAAATAATCAACTAGGGTAAAACCCTAATTTTTTTGGATTTTTACTTCACCTTCTGTGTCAAATCTGCTACAGGCTGTCTTTTACTTTGGATTGCCCATGACATAGTTCAATAAAAAAACACCTCAGCAGAGATTCTGTACAACTGTCCACACAACTTAGAACTCTCCCTACCCATAACTCTACTGTCTGCCATAATGCAAACTCTCCCTACCCATAACTCTACTGTCTGCCGTAATGCAATAGCAGATTTCAATTTCCTTTAAAAGAAATATCTGCTTAAGATTAGCTTAATATTTTTGATCTTTTCTCGTTTTAACGGGAAGGGTGCCACTGTCCTCACTGTATAACAACAGTGTAAAATACAATGAAACAAGACCACTGAAAAAAATACGTTTCTGCAGCATCTCACGATGCAAATGTGAGACTGCCTTCACCTTTGGTGAAGAAAAGCAAGAAATGCAAAACCACCTGGAAAACTTAAACAGGGGATGGTGCCAATTAGAATGAAAAGCTTTCACCAATTTCTATGGTGGAAAAAGTCTCAAACATTCTACATTGAAAAGACAGAATTGCACTGACACAGGGAAACCAAGTTGCATGCACTATATGTATGCATTTAACGATGAGCTGCAATCACAAGTGTTTTAAAAAGTGTCCATATTCATTAATATCTTGAAATGATCATTGATTTTATGTATTATTATAACACAGCAATAGAATGAAAGCTAATGAAAAACACCAACGTCAAGCACACTAACCAGATCTCAGAGTAAATTGACGTTGCTTCCAGCAGAGCTCTTAATCTGTTTTTTAATCTTTTATACATACAAATATTTACAGAGCAAATCAGTTTTGCTGCCTTTCTCTTACCTTAATGAAGATATATTTTATAATAAAAGATTAATCTTCCACTATGATAGCTATGACATGTTCTTAAGCAGAATATACTTTCAAGGAATTAATCTTTGCCAAAGTTCTAGAGATAGACTTAATGAAGTATTATGACTGTCTTGAAACCATTACTTAAAATTCAGTGATATTATTTATTGCCCCTTATTGAAATTCACACTTTTAGTTTCCAGCATCCTTTTTAGTAAGATTTCATCACAAATTAATTGCTTCAATGGATGTGTCTGTTCTTTTCCATAGCTCTTTTGTGTATCATAGAAGATATACATGTGAAGTAGTGAATCAGAAGCTCTGACTGCTTCTCCAACATTTTTTATTTCCCACAAATACTAGTAAGTACAACACATTACCTTTTTATATATACTATGTAGTCTTTGTTGGGATACTGAGCCCAGGAAGTTTTTTTGACAGATTATACATTCAACTGTAGGAAAACTACTTTGGTGGAGTGTTAATTGCTTTCAGTTTCCTCTTACAGGTACTCCTTACTGCCTAAAGCTATAATGCCTTCCTGACCTATAGAATGGACTCAGTCTCATCACTATCAAAATGGAAGCACATTCTAATCACACACATTTAACACAATGTGGTGTTCAATGATCTTTCTTGTTTTGTAGAACAAACCTGAGACTTAGTCTGAACTGCTTTGTTTCAAGAACATGGCTATTTCTGGTATTTAAAAGCTTTTTAGTACAAAGCAGATGTTTATAAATGTCTCCAGAATGAGAGAGAGGAAAAAATTTCAAGGCCTAAAGTAGACATCGGTTACCACAGAAAACAACGACAACATGAACTGAGCATAAGAACAGTATTGGAACAACATATATCATTTTGTAATTTATTTGCTTTGGTGTTTTTTTTTTTTAATTTAAATTTTTTATGTCAACCGCATTCACCCCTCCAGTCAGAAATTTTATCATTCTGAATGATCACTATGTTCAAAAAGGTTATTAAAGTAGTTGTACAAGATGTGCAGGTCTAAAGATCTAAAAGTGAGAGAGGAGAGGGAGCAGGGAGGGAACAAGTGGAAGCAGCACTGGTAAACCCACCTTATGACTGACACCCTTTTCACCCACCCTTTGAACTCCATGCTTCCCATTCTTGTGTTCCTACTAAGTCTTGTCCTCTTCCAAAATTCTTTTCACGCCGTATCTCTCACATTAACCCTTTATTCCTCATCAGCCCTCACATATGCTGTAGGGCAGCCCTACCAATTTCCTCCTCCTCATCTTTCTCAAAAACCCATAATTCCCAGCCTTCCTTAGTATCAATATCTCTCCACTCTTCTCTGCTTGTCACATACTTGTATCTTGACTTACACTCCCCATCCAGACAGGACTATTGCTGCTGTCCTCTTCCAGTACCACTGAGACAATCACTCTTTGACTTTATTTCCTCTCTATGTACATTCTCTATTTCCCATTCCAAAGAAATCCTACTTCTACTCTCATCATTATTTCTTTCTGTCTAGTATATTATTCACAAGTGAGAAAGAAAATGTACAAAATAATAGTCCACAGGGTACCATTAAAAATTGTAAGATGTAAAATGAACTGCTTCTTGAAAGAAACATAAAAAGCAGTAAGTATTATAAATATACAATACAGTTCAGATCTACTGCTTATGAAGCGAAGTATTCATGGCACTTTTGCATTTGTCTTCACAGAAGTACTTGATTACAATCATTAGAGCAATTAGATGACTTTTTAAGTGAGATTGCACATATTCTGCTCTTGGTGCAGTACTACTAACTGCAAAGCAGGAAGATGGAATAAAAAGGATAGATTTATGTACATTAAACTGAGTTGAAGTACATGCCTGTAATAATTTTTGGAGGATAGAATCAGAATTTAAAGTAGGAAGTTGAATCTTAGTATAATCTAATTTAGTCTAGTCTAATTTAAAAGAAGTCTAATCTAATTTAAAAGCAGAAAATAACTGGCTAGAAGCAGCCCAGCAGTAGTCAATCTCAATCAGGTAGTTATTGCATCTCATATCCTACTGCTGCACAAACTCTAGTATATTTTCCATCACACATCACCACAACCAACCACGTCATGTTCTTGAAAAAATTAGAAATGTCATTCTGAAATCTGTCAACTCAAGTCCCCTGCAGCATTTTGGCTGACTTTGGATATCAGACCTCAAGAACTGCACAGGTTGGACAGTTCCAGTAAGACCAACAAAAAACACTACAGGTTTGAAAATATAAAATACAAATATAAGACATTCAAAAGAAAAAGAAAATTATCTTATTATTTAACAGAAATGTGGCTAAGGAGACATATGACAGAAGTCTTTCAATATTCAGAAGATTTTTATACCAGCAAAAACTTGAAAACAATCAACTAAGCTTGTAGCAAAGATTCAGATTACTTATTAGGAAAAAAATGTTCAACTATTAAGTTCTTAAAAGACTATATATAAGTTACTGAATACTCTCTATTGGATGTTCTTAAGCGCATATCAGAAAATGGGCTGGATACAATAGTTTCTAGAGACCAACATTACTCTAAGCAGAAAACCATCTTTGGCTGAAGGCTGACAAAAGCTGTATTTGCAACATGACACACATGCCTGTGGCATTGTGACAGATTAACCAGAGCCACTGAAAAATACAATAGATAAAGACCCTGTAGCTCCTATTTACTGCCATAAAACAAAGAGAAAAAAGCAAGCAAAATAGTGGGCAGTAACATTTTGCTATTACTGTCCTTACCAACTGTCACTTCCCTCCAGATGTATTGGCTGTTTCACCTTCCCCTTCCCCCCCCGCCCCAATTCCTACCCAGACCCATCATATTTTGTATTAGGAAATCAGATGTCACAATCTAGCAATCAATAAGGGGAGAATTAGCCACTTGCTCCTCATCTGACCAATTCTCATAAATGTGGAAGCCAGACAGCATTATTTCTTTAGAATAATCCAGAAGGAATATGATGTTTAGTCTGAAAACTGAAAGGATCATGACAAACTATTTCTTTTAAACCCATTCCTCATACGTCCCACCATATGGAATTAAACTGAAAAGTAGCTAAACACAAATTTGCTTTTGCTGTTTTCTGTTCCAATGCATTACCAACATGCCTCCTCCTGAACAGCAATCTTGTTCCTCCCAGGACTGATGGAAGGAAAATAGTGAAAGAAGAAAATTAGGGATGAAACTGTCACAACTGATTCCTAAAGAGATGATTCCACACAACCAAGCAGCATGATTGCATCTTCCTCTAAATCAAAGCCATATACCTTTGAATTTAGCAAGTGTTTGATGAAAATATTTTTGCTGTATTTATATGTGCAGCTAGAGAAGTCACATTTCATCCTTCATCCAGTAAACTCAGGTATTGCCCTCCTTGCAATATGACTGTAAACATAGGAAAAAAAATGAACTCTCTGTTCAGAATGTATCCATAGATGTTCAAAAATACTTTTGGACAGAGCTCGCATAACTAGACTGCTTTGCATGATAATGTTATGCACACAGGCATTAGAATGGATTCTCCTTTCCTGTAATAATTATACTTGCCTAATGGTAATAATATTACTACTACTTATATCCTGAACTAAATTTTACTTTTAAAGGTTATTTTACCCCCAATATTTCATTAGGCTTTGAAGAAATTGGAAAAAGATTAATACAATACTGACAGATATTAATTTCTTCCTTAACTAGACTGTCTCCTAAGAAAATATTCCATCTAAGCACTATTTTGCAAAAATATCCTCATGTAGAGATTGTCACATTCTTTTCACATTTTTTAATGAACTATACTTAGCAAAATTTTATTTCAAACATTCCGAAAGAACGCATTTTTCTTCCAATATTGCGGTTCAAACTTCCAGCGCTGCAGTTTTAATTCTTTGATGTCTTCTACCTAATTACTTTACACCATTTCAATCAACTTGTAGGGCCAAAGAGGGAAAATAGAAGAAAATACTTGGACTTTGAAGTACTATTAAATGCTACATTTAAGTATTTGGTTTGTTGTACTATCACACAGAACAGTTTCAGCTTTAAGTAATCTCAAATCCCAACCCTTTTATATTATAAACCAGAAAACAGGCTATGGAAGTATATTAATATTAATTTCCTAGTATAAGTACCATCGCCACAGTAGTATTAAGCATTAAAAGCAATATTCAATAGCAGATATGTGGTCAAATCACAGACAGACACACACTGAGTAAATGAGAGCAAAACATATCTGCCAGCATATACCTGTGCTCTTGCAGGAGAACTTTGTTTTTTCATCACACAGTCGTATAGTTCCATTACAGCCCTTTTCATCACTACCATCTTCACAGTCCTTTTCTCCATCACAGCGCCACAACTCAGGAACACAATTCCCATCAGGACTGCACTGAAATTCCTTCCCATTGCATCTTCCAGGGGAGGGAGTTTCTTAGAAAAATAAGAATTACATTGAAGAACTTGCTCAGGTGAGGTTTTTTTTTTTCCATGTCAAGTCTACAACGACTTAGAATTCCCCTTCCCAACCAAAGCCAAAACCAGAGTCCCCAAGTGTAACACTCAAAACTCACTAGTCCTTTCTAACTCACCACGCCAACACGAGCTCTAGACAAGCTCTTTCTCATCCTGCTCACTCCCTTCACTCTCCCCTCTGCTGCAGGCTCAAGGTAAATACCAATCTATTTATATTTTTTTGCACAGCTTTCAGAGAAGAATTAATTTAGAGATGTAAGGAGGACTAAGGCTGATGATGTTTCTCCTGGTGCTTCATAAGCCCTGCCTCTCACCCTCAAGCTACATCCCCTACTCCTTTCTTTCTCCTCTTTTTTCCAACAAGGTCCATCTCCTAGTTGGCAAAACATGGAAGGTCACATCTTTGCTCTACTGACACAAGAGTTCCAGCTCTTGTAGCAGACTGCTTGTAGCATTTCTGAATTCCACAGCAATGAACTTCAGGTCAGTAGAGCTATATAATCAGTCTTGAATGTTTCAAAACATAACAACTAAGTGATTTTAGTTATTCATCACATACGTAATTCTCTAAGTGTTTTCTAGATGATGGTCTTTTCAATTTTATCTTTGCCCTCCTTTTCCAAAACTATTACCACTACGAGTACTGCTAACACACTAACAACAAGCACATGAACTTGAAAGTAATGATAAATGTATACATTCCTGTTTATAAAAAAGGAATTTAAATAAATTCTTATAAGACATCCTGTAAATATATGGTTTATTTTATTAAAATTTGTTCTGTTTTTTTTTTCCCAAATAATCTGTATTCTTGCATCCTATTGTAAATATAGCAAAGACAAGTTGCTGGACAAGTGTACATCACGTAGCAGAGCAGGACACAGGAGATGTATTAACTGAAAATAACTGGGGTATTTCAGAGACAGGTGCAGATCCCAACATAACATGGTATTGTATGAAAAAGGAGAGCTCTGAGATAGATGTGAACAGGGGAAAAGGGAGTAGTTTAGTTCCAGACCAATTATTTTGATACAGGTAAAATAATAATAACTTATATAGATATATAAAAATTAAGGACTTTATTCATGCACAGCATTCTGCTAATTCATCTATTTGTATAAGGTTTGCAGCTACATTTAGAAAATAAACTCATAAGAAAGAACCAATAAAATCACATACAACTACTTTATTGTGGAAAAATCACTATGAGAACAATATGAGAGAAAAATATTCCCTCGTTCTTATCTGAGGGTTCTTTATCCTCTGCTACAAGCATCCTCCTCTTCTCTCCCCACCCAAATAAATACGTGTTGCATTTAAACAGGACTGTAGTTTGTTAAAACATTTTTATGCTTTAGTAACACTAATTAAAAAAAAAACAAAAAACAAACAAACCACAAGAACAGAAACTTGGATCACACAAAAATGCGAGTGTTACTGCATAAAACCCCCAGAAAATATAAACACTAACTTTGGGAATTCTGCTTACTACCTCTTTATCTAGGCAGCATGCATTTCTGTAAAAGGAAAAACATCACGTTTAGCAAAATTCAGGACAGTAAAACTACAAAACTGATCTCAGTATAATACCCATTTTGTTTTCAAATGCATTCTTCTTCTGTGATGCACTTCTGCATGATCATATTATACTTGACATATTTTCCATTCCAACCATTACCAAGGTTAAAAGCATTTTCTCTTTTTCCATTGACTGAAAAAGGGTCCTCTATATTTATAATATATGATGCTTTGTGTTTATAAGTATTAAAACGTGGGGGGAAAAAAGAATGAATGCTGACCTTCCTTGCTGCAGTTTGTTTTGGTTTCATCACTGAAATCTCCACAGTCATTGTCACCATCACAGGCCCAGTGGCTTGGGATACATCTACCATTAGAACATCTGAACTGATCAGCAGAACAGGAGTGAATACAGCCCAGCTCATCACTTCCATCACCACAGTCGTCATCTGCAAATATGAATATTTTTATTAATTTAAAAGATAAAAAAGGTCAATAAAAGACGTGAGGAGAAAAAGATATCTCCAGAACAGCAAGAGAAAAATAACTTGCAGCAAACAAAAGAGTATGTTTACTGTAACAGGCATATAGTAAAATTATTTCTAATGCAAGTAACTCTTTAATTTACCAACAGCACTCAACTGTCATTTTGGGCAGTCCTCTCTTACACTTATTCACAGTTATTCAATCACAGACACCAGGAAGCATGAGGAGGCTGTAGATTTTCTTCATTTCTTTAGTTGTGTGTAACCACACAGGCTTCCAAACACAGTGGGTTTGCTTTACTCTCAGTGATTCGTTAACTTGGACAGTTAAGCACAGACACACACACACAGACCTTCATATCAAACAAAACTAAAACCTGATGTCAGAATTGCTTTTCAGAATTTAGTATCACTAATATTGCTTCTGTGTACTTGCAACAGAGCAAGGTGGAGAAAGAGAGCAACACATAAACAAGGGTGGAATGTAGTTTCTCATTATTCCAAGATTGTGGTAATGACTACAACATTAAGGCAATTCCCATAATTTGATTGTGATTACCAAGGGATGGAAAAGATAAATAACTTAGGTAAACACTGAAGGGTCTCCTCGCACAGGATTTCAGTAACTACACTGTGATAATTGGGGGAATCTGTCCATTTTACAGGTATGAATTCCTATCACCCTTTAAAAATTACAGTAATATCAAATGCTGCAGTGGATGAAGAACCAACCCAACATATTAAGACTGGCAGATATGACTCCCATATCACGAGCTCTGAGAGAAGATTAATTTGAACAGTTGTCATTCAAATATGTTCTCTTTCAGGTGAAAGAAACAACTTCATTGTAAAGTCTTCCTAGCCTTCACTCTTCAGGGATGCTATTTATTAATTTGAACTTGCCCACAAACAACAGAAAAATCAGATACTTTGGCCACTGGAACTATTTTGCTCTCTAAAAGTAGAAAATACTTAGCTTCTTTTTTTTTAATAATGATAGCTTATATCACACTTCATTCTAAAAAATATACTATTTGTAACTATTACCATATCCACTGCATCATTCCTTATATGAAGCTTATTATTGCTGCTCTCTAGGTCAGGTCAGCAATTTAAAAATACTATACTTATTCTCTGATCACTTGCAACATCAGTCTTATAAGAAAAGAGTGAGTATCAAAGCAATATTTATGTATTGTCTACTGTATTCATTTCAGATACAGAACACTTGACACTTGCCTGAATCACATAGCCATTTGCTGCTAATGCATCTTCCATTTTTACATATAAATTGAGTTAGTGGCTCACACGTTGGGAATTCTGTGAAAGTGTTCAAAAAGAAACAAAAACAATTTAATGTATATCCTCTTGAGTAATATTCTTCCACCCTCCGATATGCAGAAACTACACAAGTGTATTGGATCAAACATTTGCACCTGCCAGACACTTAATCTGGAGAGGAGAAAAAGGTGAGACACCAAAAAGGGAAAATAAAAAGGCTTTTAACTATAAATACTGGTCAAAACCCTATCCTTCCTCAACACAGACCCCTGAAATACATTACTCTGTGTCATATAACATGATCCTATATTCCCATCAGACCACAGCTATCTTTGCCACTAAGCATGCTAATGTTTACAACTATATTATATATTAAGAATATATATTATAGCTTGATGACAGATACAAACAGATATTTTCAATGTGTTTATTTATATTAAAAAGTCCTCTGATTGCAATAACATTGGCAGTGAAAGACAGGAAATGGAAGACTATAAAATGAGAAGGTCAAGTACAAAGCAAAAGAACAGTCAGGACATAAAGTTGCTGTATGCTGACATAATAAAATCCAAAAGTAAAATGTCAGTGTTTACAATCACTTCCTCCAAGCATCCCAGTAAAAAGTAGTAGAAAACTGAGACAATAACATTCATAAAGACTCATCTATATTAGAGATTTGGTTTTATAACTGTCTAACAGGCATTCAGGAACAGGCCGGACAGGGAGAATCACTTCTTCTACCTTTGCACACAACAGAACTTATTTGATTTGAAGCATGGCAATTAGAAGTCTACCTCACTACTATTCTCATTTTTACTCATATAATGACTTTATTTTGATGTAGATTTTATTAAACGTTTTCTCTTTTGAAGTAGCAGATCTGGTATCGATTACTGTCAATACAAAATCAGCTCTCTTTATTTCTGGTTTATATCACTTTAAAAGAAGAAAAAGGAAAAAAGCAATAAGAAATAAGGCAACAGAAAGCAGGTGAATATCCCAGGAAAAATATCAAGTATTTACATGTAAAAATCTTGAATGTAGTTATAGAAGGACATTTTGATAACTACATATGGGCTTAAGAAGTAACAATGTAAACTCAACTAATGGGTCAGGAATAATTCAAAATTAAACAAACTTTAGGGATTATGTATAAACATAATTTACTGATTGGATCCTACATGTTGCCTCCCATAGAATATTTGGTAATTGAGGTCCTCTAGATTTATGTTTATGGAACACAAAGCATCATTCCATTACTTTCATTTATGCATTTACTGTTTTTTTTCCTCACTCTCCACTGCAAGTGCTTTGTAGGTTTTGAGATTTTTGCAGAAAACAGCTATTATCAGTAGTGAACTTTAATAACTCTACTGAAAGGGTTTAAAGTGGTAAGATGTTCAAAAAAGGCACAAAAAAAGCTAATGTTTTATCAACTACATTGCTTTCATAGTTTGATTTTGATTAAGAAAAAAGTATCTTTATAAGAGTTAATCAAGTTAGAATATCAGCTATATCTGAGAAAAATACAGGTCTAACTACTAAGTATCCTAACAAGTACACTTTAGATGTTAATTTTTTTTGCGCACAATGTGTCCCTTCATGTTAACATGGCTGATGCTACTAAAATAATCAGTCCGCATTCTTTTTTGAAAACCTATCCCATTATAGTGTAGCACACTTAACACACTTACTAATTCATATTAGTAATTCCAATATCACAAATATAACCTTGTAAGCAGGGAACACCCTGACACAATAGCTTGCAGACAGCTCATTGCCTCCTCCTCTCTCAGACTCACAGCAGTTACCTGTGACCTCCCGAACACACACAGGCACTCATGCTGACTTATGAAAATCTTAATTATTTGGAAGTAGCTGATTAGAGAGAGCGCACCTCCCTTTGCAGTATCTCAATAAAGCAGCAATCAGCAGAGCTGCTGATACTCTCTCATGATATAACCAAGAATGACTGATTTTTTCTGGAACATACAACATCAAAACATCCTCCTGTTCAGACTTGAAACAGTCTGATTTTATTGACATCTAGAATATGCTGAAGGGGCCTGTGAAGAGGTATATAGAAGAGATAAATATCAACATTTGATGGTGACAGTATTTGAAAGAGGTATATAGAAGAGATAAATATCAACACCAACAATGGTGACAGTATTTGCTAATGGGCTGTAAATTAGAAAAGTGTTGACTGATCTGCATATTTGGCATTGCAAGTAAAAACTCATTAATAGAAAATGCAGCCTTTACTTTGGGTTTATTTATTAATCTAATATATTATATTTGCAATTTCAGAAAGAATATTATCTGTTCATGTAAAAACAAAAAGGCCGCTCTTACTTTTTCTCTCCATCAGTTCATGTGAAAAGAGATCCTTATACATTTAACTTATTAAAGAATAATTTTACTTTTTTTCCCCAAAAGAAAATTTACTTACCACAGGATGTCATTTCATCGGTTTCATCTCCACAGTCATCCTCCCTGTCACACAGCCACGATGTCGGAATACAGCGCCCATTCCCACAAGAAAATTGGTCAACCTGACACGTTCTTGCTGTCAAGACAAAACACTCCAAAAATGCAAGGGAAATGGACTAAATCTGTTAGGTCTCTCAGTGCGTGTCTGCATATAGAAGTTTCAAGTCTGAAGGGCACGACCTGCCCTGCTGCTCCTTGTACCTCATCTGACTAAATATCATTCACCTGCTTTGATTTCAGAGAAAATTGAGGCCACCTGCAGGACTGTGTTCTCCCCGTTATGTAGAATTCCTAGTGTTTTCTTCAACATATGAGAACATGAAGTTTTACGGGTAAAATGTGCAACTGTAATGATCCATTAAAGGAAATGATATATGTCTTCTGAAGAAATAAAGATCACTAAAAGAAATCATGCTATGTAACTACATAAATTACTTTGAGAGCTGATGAACAGTAAGACTTCAATAAAAATATAACATATAAAACTGACGTTACTTATAATTTTGTGTATTCTAAATGTGAACCCATAACTACAATGCCAGGGTTAGTGACACAAATTTTGTTTTCAAATTTAAGCTTTTAGAGTTTGTCTATATGTGACTCCATACTTTAAAAAAATAAATAATGAGACATCAGAAACCTCAATAATCAAAAGAATATTCCTTCATCTGCTATTCTCAATTCTCCTTTTTCTTCCAGGAAATAGCTTAAAATACAATAGAAGAATAGAAGTTTAAAATATTGTTTTTTAAAACATGAATAGTGTTTGCCACTGAAGGAAAAAAAAAAAAGGAAAAAACAAGAATACAGAATTCAACCCAGAGCCAAATGACATAGGGATGCAAATACGGTCTTCAAATCAGACTCTTATCCTACAAGGAAACCCCTGAATATCAGAGGATATCAAGAAGTATTAGAATCCACATTAATACTGTAGAGGTGATATGGACACTCTAGGTCTGCATTTGCACCAGAGAGCTTTTAGCCAGACTGCACAAGTAACAAGGTGAACAGCTTACTACACACAAAAATTTAAATCAATGAAAATGAGTTCAGGCAATATTTTAATACACAATGTCTGCTGTCTATCACTGCATTTCAGTGTTAAGCGGTCATCACCTTATTGATGTCTATTGATTATTTTGTACATCACATATTTAATGACTGTTTAGTCTACTCTGCTGATCAGCACTAAACATCACTTCCATACATGCAAAGGGCAGACTTAGAACTCCATGATTTATTGCAGTGGAATAAGTAAACAATCTTCACCTTGGTATTTCCTTAAAAATCCACTATACAGTTAATAACTTACAAGTGAAAGCAGTTTCAAGCTACCAAGGGGAAACTGAATAGCTAATTACGCTTTTGTCAGCATAAAATAAAATTTGCTAGTGACATGGCACTGATCACAGCATGTTAACAAACAAAATTCTAACTGCCAAAAAAGATTTAGCAGGGACAAGTTTGTACCTAAGCAGTGCTTTGACAGTCAACCCACATGGACAGATTAAGTGCTGAATTACTTTGGAAAGCACAGTCAAGCACAAAGATTAAGCAAAATATAATTTATATTCCAGCCTTAGTGGGATCAAAATCCGAATTGATTTAAAATGGCAATAATCAGATTACTAGTAGCAGACTGGTTCAGTTCAGTCTTGAACTGTTTATAAAACTGGAGTTAGAGAACTTCTATGCACAACCGAGTAAAATTTTTACCTGCACAGGTTTTATTTGATTCATCTTCGTTATTACCACAATCATTAGCTCCATCACAAAGCCACCTTTTGGGAATGCAGCGATTATTTTGGCATTTAAATTGATCATCAGGACAACTATGATTGACTGGGGAGAAAAAAAAGAGGAAATAATCAGAGAAAACCAGCTGAAAATAATACATTAAATGGTATTCCCTGGTGATGCAGTTAGTATTATTATCTTGTATAGATAATGACTGTGATATAAAAATTGCTCAGCAAACCAGTCAATTAAAAAATATTGCAGTACTTTGATCATAAATTAAACAATACATAGTAAAGATTCTCCTATCACACTAGTGTCAATACAGAGATCGTCCTCTATTAACTACAAGGTGATAAAAAGTAGCAGTATTTTACAATGATTTTATTTCCTTAAAGAAAAATATCCTCAATCTCACTTTATCAATGTGACAAGGTTTGCAAACTGAAGTGCATATAAACAAAACGCCAAAGGGAACAGGTGCAAGTTGCCTTGTGCGTATCCAAAATATTATACCACAGCGAGCAGGGATTTGGGAAGGTTATAAAACGCTTCTAAACTGATGCACATTACTGTCAATGACCACCCATAGATCTGCTGTTTACTTACCATGAAATTGTAGGTGTCAAAAAATGAAATATGCAACACAGTGTAAAACTGACAAAACCTGTTATTCAAGAGTGAACAAGGCATCTGAAAAACATGTTTTTGCTAGCTACCAAGTGTCATGGAAAGGATGGAGTTATGTAAAAATGCTATTGGCCTGCTCTTGCAGCTGAAGTATATATGTTCTGCTTCTTTTGTGCTAATAACAGGGTCTATTATTAGCAGCTCTTGCTAAACTTGATCTACACAAGAGCAGTAAACTATACACAATTTCAAATGCTGGGTTAAAAATAATCTCAAGATATTTTCCACCTACTCAGCCATCCACAGTCTCTTTTTTTTTAAAGTTTAACATATATCTGGAAACAAATGGTATTTAAAATGAAAGGACGTCTTGCAGGCTTATCCTTGACATTTCAGTAGCTTTTATCTTTGACCTTTCTACCTATTCTTCCTACTGAAAACAACACAGAGGAAGTGTGGTATCAATAGCACATGAACCCTTCACGAGTGCTTTGTGCGTAGGGTGCCAGAACATTGGAAGTAAAATTAATTAATAAACTGAGCAGAACAGCATTTCAAGGCTCATAATAATTACATAGTTTGCGATGTGACTGGAGAACAGGACTGTATCATTCATGGAATAAAATTAAAAATTAAAGACTTTTTTTTACTGCAGTTCAATACTAGACATCGATACTGTTTTAAACAGTAGTTAAGTTTTTGCTTATATATATTTACTACCATGTTGTTTGCGTGTTCTATTCATGATTGCAAACATTTCAGACTAAGTCAAAAAGAACTATTGAAGTTACTAAAGCAACTGCTGAAAAGAGATTACTTTTATCATACTGATCACTTAATCTGGTCCCAAAACTGTATGTGATATATAGTTTACGATTTCATTTATATCTGTATAAATCCTTTGAGAATTACAAGCTTTGGTCAATGAATTGTCCTAAATTGCAATAACTTAAATGAAAATCAAGTCAACTCTGCCAAAAAGACTTTTTTTCTCACTGTCTTTATTAGTTGAGCTCCTTATTTTAGCGTAAGAAAATCTGGTATTAAAATCTGTCTTTATTAGTTGAGCTCCTTATTTTAGTGTAAGAAACTCTGGTATTGAAAATATCAGTAAGCACAAGAACTCAGAACTGTACAAATGTTTTGAAAAGAATTAGGATGGAAATCTATAATGACTACTACGTGGAGCTATCAAAATACATAAATGTGGGAAAAACACAAAACTGGCTATGTAACAGCCAAACAGAAAAAGACGGAGGCATTACGGAGGATCACAAGCTCAGTGTGTATCAGCAACATCAGGCCACTGCGACGCAGAAAAGATTTACCCAGGAATGTACAAACAAGACTATCATCCCTCACAACCACATTCCCTCAGCCTGATCAGCTCCACAAAGGCCTCTGCAGAAGTACATACATCCAGTTTTGGACACTGAGCCCCAAAGATCTTAGCAAAGTTCAGAAAAGAGCAATGAAATCTAAAAACCCCATAATCTACTGGAAAAAAAAGAACAGATTAGAGTTGTTTTTGTCTCAGAGAGATAAAAATGAGAGACGACGATAAGGGTTTTCAGACACAGAACAACGCTGCACAGAAGAATGTATCAGTTCTTCATGTCTACAATTGATAGGGAAAAATGTATTTTCATTTCAGTAAAGGAGATTTGGTTTAGAGAAATGATCTAATGATAGAAATAGGAAGCACTGTGACAAAATGAGTATGAAAAGGAATTTTCACTGCTGCAACTCTAATTTTATAGCAGGCTAAGTATCCTCCAGGAACAACACAGATACATGATAGGATGTTTTCTATTCTTTTTCATTTCAACATCAAGACTCCTCTACAGAAAAAAACCAAACAATCCAGCTCTAGTAAAACTGTATTTTTAAAGACAAAGTACAACTAATTTAAAATTGGAAGTGTGTGTGTTTGGGTTGTTTTTTGCTGTTGCTGGTTTTGTTTTTCTTTGGATTTCTTGGTGGGGCTTTTGCGGTGTAGTTTGTTGTTGTTGTTGATTTTGGTTTTGTTTTTCTTTGGATTTCTTGGTGGGGCTTTTGTGGTGTAGTTTGTTGTTGTTGTTTATTTTGTTTATTTGTTTTTTAAAGAAAAACATTAGAGAATCTCAGAAATGTTGAAGGTTGGAGGGGACCTGTTCAGATCACCTAATCTAATCTCCTGCTCAAGCAGGGCCAACTAGAGCAGGTAGCCCAGGACTGTGCCCATATGAGTTTCAAGTATCTCCATAGACAGAAATGCTACAACCTCTCTGGGCAATCTACTCCAGTGTTTGACTATGCTCACAATAAAAACATGTTTTCTTGTATTCAGATAAAATTTCATGCTTTTCAGTTTGCATCCATTAGCTCTTGCCAGTGAGACGAGCCTGGCTCCCTGTTCCTCATTCCCTCCCATCAAGTATTTATATACATTGGTAAGATCCCTCCTGAGCCTTCCTTTCCCCACAGACTGAACAATCCCAGCTCTCCCAACTTCTGGGACAGGTTTGCCAGTCCCTTAATCATTTTAGTGGTCCCTTTCCTGGACTTGATCCAGTTAGTCACTATCTTTCTCATACTGGGGAGCTCAGAACCCGGCATAGTCCTCCACATATGACCTCATCAGGAATGAGCAGAGGGGAAGGATCACCTCCCTCAACGTGATGGTGATGCTTTTCCTAAAATAGCTCAGGATGCCCGTGGCCTTCTTTGCCATGAGGTGCATTGCTGGCTAATGGTCAGCTTGTTGCCCACCAGGACCCCAAGGTCTTCTTATCTGCAAGGCTACCAGTATATGCTGATGCTTGGAGTTATTCTACCTCTGAATGACTGCACGTTCATCTGGTGCATGAGCCACTCTTCCCACGTTGGTATCGCCCACAAACTTGTTGAGTTTGCACTCTGTCCCAGTCATTACTGGAGGGGGGTACACTGTTAGTGACTTAGCTCCAACTGGACATCGTGCCATTGATGACAAGCCCCGAAGTCTGGCTGTTTAGATAGGTTCCAACCTAACCCTTGTCAGCTTGTTTACGAGGATGTTACAGCAGACAGTGTCAAAAGCATTACTAAACTTGAGATAAACAATATCCACTGTTTTTTCCTCATCCACCAAACTAGTCACATCCTTGTAGAAGGCTATGAGGTTGACTAAGCATGACCTCCCCTTCATAAATCCATGCTGACTACTCCCAATCACTTTCTTGTCCTTCACGTCTTTGGAAATGGTTTCCAGGACTAATAGCTCCATCGCTTTCCTCAGAGGTTGAGAGAAGGCTGTTTCTGCTTTATAAAGGTTGGATTAGAGATATTCTGAGGCCCCTTCCAATCTGAATTAGCCTGTGACCCATATAAAAAAGCGCAACAGTGGGGAAAAAAAAGCAAAAAAACCTAATGTTTAAAGAATCAGAATTGATGATGTCAAAACCAAAAGATGACTGCTCTGGTACTATGTTGTGAAATGAGTACACGAGTGTCATTTGAAAGGACAACTATTATTGCATGCAGGAAAAGAAGAAAAAGAAAGATTGACATGAATGACGTCAGGGTTATCGCTTGGGTTTGACTCCCCTCAGACTTACACCGTTTTGTTTCAAAATTTTAAAATTAAGTATGAAGTGTGGGTTAAAAATACAAAAGCATACATACAGCAAATTTCAGAGTGCTCGTCACTGCCATCCAGACAGTCATCGTCCCCATCGCAGCGCCAGCGATCCTGGATACAGCGCTTGTTGTTACACTGAAACTGCTCAGCTTTGCACAACTGTGGCAGCACTTCTCCGTGTTTAACTAGGAAAAACAGCCAAAAAGCGCATCTATTTTATCAGCTTGATGCATACAGAATGCAATACTACCTCTACATAAATAGATGTAAATTCTTGTTATCGCTCTTCAGAACGTTTTTTTTAGAAAACTTTGCATATTTGATGTAATTCCACCTGAAGCCTGTAGCAGCATGCATATCTGAGTGTATGGTTGAGGTAATATATTTTTAATAAATGGAAGAACTCAGAACAGAATGGCACTCGAACTGTTTTTTTAAATTGGTGCTTTGTTGATAGCGTAAAAATACCAGTTTAAAATATTGCAATGCCTCATCAACAGTGAAAATATTCTTACAGATGCAGACCAAATTCTGGTGCACATTAAAGGGCTAGAAAATGATTACTGAAAAATCTGATTCTTGTATCCAAGCAACAACTCAAACACCTGCATTATGCACTGGTACAGACTCGGCAAAGAAGAAAGGATAAAATTCTGCTGAGGTAGAATTAAGCAGCAAGCTACAAGCTTATTGATAAATCCAGACAGATACATTTCCCAACATGAGGTTCAGAATCCTTATCGTGTAAATACATCAAATCGCTCTATGACCCTGTGAGGAACATCAAAGTCCTTGGAAAAAGCCGGGCAATAAAGTGCGTTGGGCAAAAAAAGCAGGAACCTGCTTCATTCAGATCTGAAAGTATCTAACCTCTCTTCCTAATGCTTACATTCCATCTTACCAGTGAGAAGTCCACCTTCCAGTATTTTCTGCTAAAAAGAAAAATAGTTTTCTTTAGCAACAGTGATGGCTCTGGTAGCCATGCATTTGGGTCAAATTCAAGGTAATTGCAAGCTCAATAGTGTTCATCATGTTATGAAATAATCCTTAACCTTTACTCGTCTCTATTAGGCTTATTGCTGGAGACCTATGTAAAGTTTTACACACTACACTTCAAGAAATAGATCAATGAGATTAAGAAACAAACAACAACCAAAAACAACAACAAAAAAGCCCCAGAGAATTTAGAGTAAGTTACAAATATCAAGTCTAAACATTTAAAAAATACCTGCATTATCTGATGAACTATTCTTTTTAATTGAAAATCCCACATTTTATTATTAACACTTTTTTTTTTTTTAATTTAATCAGCATTTCAATGAAGATATCCAAGGTAGAGATTTAAAAGACAGTGAAATTTGTGTAGTCTGTGTAAGGACCTATTATATACAAATATATCTGCTTGACATATTTTCTGAACAGTTTCAGCATGAACATTTTCTATGCCAGATTTTAATTTAAGATACTTAGTCCATATAATAATCCGAAACCTATTTTTATAGATTTAATCACAACATCTTCTGGTATTTCTGATAGTCTTTAAAGTCATTAAAAGAGGTCAGCAAATATTTAAGCGCTTTATCACGTCAGATATTCTAAAATATTTTCCACTATATTTTATCCTCAGATATTGTGTACTTAATATTTTGTATTTTTTGAAAAAATCTTTATTTCATTTAATAAACCATCTTTATTTAACGAATAGTTCTTTGTCTTATAGAACTGCCAGAAGGCTCTAGGAGACTGCACTTTCTTGGTTTATTTTCCGATTTGACTTGATCCCTTAACAGTAGCATCAACTCAGATATTCTTTAAAGATCTTACTCGTGCAGGTTGTACTGTTTTTCTCCAAAAGCTGATTATCAGCACAGGCACAAACTCTGCCTCCAGGAATGGCTAAACAAAGAGTGCTGCAGCCTCCATTATTAACACGACATGCATTATCACCTGTGAAGATAAAAAAGCGACTTTAACAGCCATGTTAAAGAAGATCTTTTGTTAGAATGTAAGCACAAGAAGAATTTTTTACAGTTTTCCTCTCATTTTAAGGACATGTTATTCTCAGTTTGGTTACTACAGGTTATAATATTTAAACAATTTTAGTTACAGGTTGCAATAATCTGTAAGATCAGAAAAAAAACCCCTACACCATCAGCTCACAATATTCTATCTCCCTTTTTTATGAGGAACAAATATTACAAAATATTTAATATGACACAGCTACATGTATGTAGCAGTTTTAAAAAATTAAACAGTATATAAACAAATGTTCTGAAGTATATTGGCATCTGCACATGTTAGAACAATGTGACAACAAATGCAGACCAAGAAAAAAGAGAAAGGAAACAGAAATTAGAAGTATAATGAGATCCACAGCAGACAGAATACAAGGCGGATATTCCATTACTCTTTTCTGAGCACATCTGCTATTTCTCTGCCTTCTTTTTCTGTGTTATTGTTTCTTCCCAAAAGCTGTACGCTGTTCACATGAAGATACTGACAGCTGTCAGGTGTTTTCATCATCTACCAAGGACTGCTGCACCCTCACTACCTCAACTTCTTAGGCAAGCAGACTTAAAACCGAAGCCCACTGAAGCAAGTGCTACGATTTCTGTTTGTGTCATTTTGGTCATAACATAATAGCTTTGATATGAAACGCCGAGGACATTCATCCTCTCCTGATCTGTTAATTTCCCCTGTTGATGAAACCTGACTACCATCAGGCAAGCTATAAGCCTTCAGATCTGCTGAAACTTTCAATTAAAACTACTTTTTTTCATCTTCCTGTCCTAGTAAAAAGCAGGTGTTCCTTCCTCTGCTCCTCATTTTCAGGTGTTCAAAGCATTCACCAACTTCACAGATTCGAACAGACTCCACACGATTGCCTCTGCTCAAAGCACTACCACTTCTCTTTCCATAGGATATTAAGTTCTCACAGAGGTAGCTGCAGACATGTTTATGAAACTGAGCCATGTATATGGCTCCTGGCAGAGCCGTACCTGCATGTGCAGGGAAACATTTCCAAATTATCAAACAAACATCAGATAACGAGCAAATCATTTAAGATTTTGAACATTTTAAAATTTTAAGATATGCCTCAATAGGTCTTATAATACAAACCTTGAGCATATCATCATAATCTACTCCTAGACTTTTTTCTGACCTACCATACATCACTTTTCAGAAGTAAATGTGTCTACAGTCCATTAGTTCCCCACTGAACGTTCAAATAAATTTGTGGAAAGTAATTAATACAGGATGCTATGGGAAGCTGCTGTGGTCATTGTGCTTTCATTAGGCAGCGTGTGAGAGAGACAGCAAGACCACACCTGTATAATCAGGGAATTCTGGAAGTTCCTATGAAGCGTGAGGGCTGGATCACAATTTTAGAAAGAGCAGTTCCAACTTAGACTGGGCACTTAAAATACTTTATTGGATCTTGACTTCATGTTTTAGACTACGACCTAAAACTTTGTTCAAAAATCAACTCCTTTATTATGCCTCTGCTCACCAAAACCCAAACATGAACAAAAGTAAGAGATGTATTTGCATCTAAATCTTGGAAAACCTCGCCTTAGAAATACCGCCTTGGAAAAGATAGCTTTGAAACTCTCTGAATCTTTATGGGGCTACCCATTACACAAATAAAAGAACATCAGTAAAACAACATTTAAGAAGACAGAAGCAGCTGCAAAAACAAACAAAACAAAATATAACCTTCAAAAGTGAATCCAAAATTATAGAGCACAAGTCGAGATTACCTGATGTAATTAAAGAATATACATGAGTTTGTCAGATCCCTAAAAAAGAATAAGGCTATAGAAAAAAAAAGACTTTGTAAGACAAATATAGAAAATACTTTGAAAACCCATGATGATTCTGAAGCCCAATGCAAAGAAAATAAATAAAATCAAAATTAAAACACTAGATCAAAGTCAACTGGTCCATCTTGAAGATGAAAAGTTCCTACTTAACCTCATAATTGTGATGACAAACTACAGCACAGTAGCTTACTTAAGTGATAAAAGAGAGGATGATGACAAGTAAAACACAAATACCAAGAGTTAAAACGACAGGATCCTAGATAGAAAAGGTTATGAAGTGAGCTTAAGGAAGTCTTCAGCCTGAAGACTATATTGAGTATGGAACTCATTTAGCTACCAAGTATTGATGAGTTTAAATTTCCTCAACTGCTGTTCATAACAGCTATTTTATATGGGTGTTCTTAAAATAATCCCAAAATATTTTCAGAGCTAATACCATACTTTTCATTATTTTGCCAGCTTTCAAAACAGCTGTGGCCCTGCCACTTGCATATGATTAAATTAGGCTGGTTCCATTTTAATTTGCTAAAAAATTAGTCCAGAGATAAAACAACATACTTGCATCTCAGTCATCGTTCTCAGAAAAAAACCCCACATTATGGAAACCATATACATTCGTTTAACCTTCTCATTTAAAAGATACACTAAGTATTTATTGCTGCTTAGTAATCATTGCACTTCTGTGTTTTCATGAGTATTTATTTATGTTTGTACCTTCCCTTAAACCTAACCTCAAGTACCGCTAAAGCTCCATAACTCTACTTTTAGGATCGTACTACACATATGAAGAGCAGCAGCCTGGGCCTCAAGCAGCTCTTCTTTACCATCTGAGGAGTTGAAATATCAACTGATTTCCAAAAATGCTATTTTAGCAGCTGTAAATGGGCGTACACAAGAATTACTTACATATCAACGGCAACCTCACCCTTCATAGCCGTGGAAATACCCACAGGCCTTGGCAGGTTCAGATGCTGACTATAAATCCAACTCCTATACTTACTATGCTTCCTGCCACCTCCCCATTTTTTAAGGTATTCCTGATGCACAGAAACCCAAAGACTATGCCTAAGAAAGTATGATGAATTCTAACCTCTAAAAGCAAGAAAAAAAAAGGCTCCTCTGCAAGAGGGTCATGTCTCATGAGACACAAAGAGAGTGAAAAACACTTTTTTCCTAAGGAGATACCAAAAAGAAGCTTAGTGTTGCTCCCCATAATACTAAGCAGGATTGGCACAGTCAAGTATTGTGTAAAAGACCTCCTAATAAAAATGCCAGTCTCAATTCAGCTATGACCAGATGAATTGGCGTGACTTCTGCTTGTGTAGACAGTGACAATCACAGCAACATCA